AACTGCTCTCTAGTAGTATCCCGAGTCGAAAGAGATTTAGGAGTCCTGGTACCCTACGATTTGAAGTCTTAAGCTAACTGTGACAAAAATGCCTTCCAAGCAAACCTTGCACTGGTAACTTTTAAGTGCATTTTTAGCTAGTTTGACGAAAGAACTTTTCACATAATCTTCAATGGTTTTATCCGTCTCCATTTAGAGTACGGATACATATTATTTTCTCCCTCAATCTAAAAGGATTAAGACACTCTGGAACGTATCCAACGGTGAGCCACGAGATCAGTTCGGGTACTCAAGTTCAAACCTTATGAAGAGCGCCTCCAATCACTTAATCCTTACCCTCTTAGAGTATAGGGGTCCTAGAGGTGACCTTCTGATGGCTTACAGCATCCTTAACATTTCTGAACATCCCCTTAGACACCTATTTAAGCTTAGTCCAAATACAAACCTAAGAGGTAACACTCAAGAATTGGAAACACAACATAACAGAGCAGACTGTAGACATGACATCGACGCCTTAAGAGTTGTCAAATGCTGAAATTCGCCGCCGACTGAACTAGTCCAGGCGACTTCTTAGGAGCCCTTTAAGAGGGATCTTGACCTATTCCTAAAGAATAAGGATAACATCTTATTATGGTTTATCATTTTCTTTTTTTTATTATTGTTAATATACCTAGAATCCTTCTTAAAGGTGTTGTTGATCCACTGCTACCAGACACAAAAGCCCGTTAAGCCAAAGATTCTTCTATTCCATCCACAACCACTCGAACCATTTGAAGTCTTTGTTCCGTTCGCAGTCTGAGTTGATTCGTAACCGCTACAAACATAGCAGTATATGTTCATCCTGAGATGATTTTCTCGATAGGACTGACGTTACGAGTTTACATAAAGTGGGTGAAAAACGGTTATCAGGAAAACTCATGGAAAGTCACTATTACGTCATGATTATTTGAGATCATCATATCCCAATCTCTTAGGTTTGGGGAAATGTTGGGGAAACATCTAGAGTCAAATGACCTTCACAAAAGTCTAGGGAAATTACGGGGAAAAACTCCAAACTTGGGGATATTTCGAGGAAATCTTGGGGAATTTCTACAGATCTGAGTAAATTTTGGGGTTTTTACGCCAGTTCCCCAGAGTTTACTGTAGCGGCTTCCCCAAAACTGGGAGCTCGGGATTGGAAGAAAAGAGTCAAAGAATTGTCAGGTAGAGAAATTTTACCTCATAAAGATCCCAATCACTGACTCCTAGTCATTCAGTTGAAAGTTTTGTAGTTGTACTAACTATTAGAACTTTGGTTCACTAAGTAAGAAGCTACTAAGCGACTTAGGATTGAACACAACTGTTGATTTGAGCTTTCAAACAAAGATAAGCCGTCGTAGTTCAGTCGGACTTTCATTTCGGTGAAAGTTGTCTTGCGCAGCCAATTTTCTGAAATCCTGAACAAACTCGATTTCAATCCCAGATGGTAGTAGACTCCCGTTCCCAGAATTTTGTGCTCCACGTTGTTGCAGCGACGTAGAACACTTTTGATGGATATGGGGTGTTCTGGAATGTGCATTTAAAAAAGGTCCAGAATGTCGTCAGCCTTTTTCACGGTTATGTCACCTCCTTTCGTCATCCCATCAACAATTCTGTCTAGCTGTTTCTTCATTGAAAGATGAATGGGTGAAGACATTTCTGAAATTATACCATTTATAACTTGTTAATAAATAAAGCTAGACTGCCGTTGGCTGTACTGGAAGAACACTGGACGTAACTACACGAAGCGGTGGGTATTTATGAAACAATATTGTTACACTGCTCTGTAGATGCGGTGGTCCTTACTTCTGTGACAACTTAATTGTCGTTCTCATCGTCACTGCTCGTTAACTGATACTTTTTGATGAATTCAGCTTTTAACTTCCTCAGCCTTCTGTAAAAGGTTGATTTGGGACAGCTCATCAACTTCAAGTCTCTGGCGGCTTTAGCCCGACTTTTAGCAGTCTTATCAAGCTGTAAATTATTATTCTGAAAGAGACAATTGACTTAAGTTAGACTGAACAAAAGCAGTAATCGAAGTTCTGGACAGTACAAATAACCAGCCTACATGGCGTGAAAATTTTGAAAAAGTGGTTTGAATCCGACGACTCATTGTCTCGTGTCTTTTTGACGCACTGAAACAAAAATTCAACTTCTGTAGACTATTCGTGACCAAAAGTCATCATTTCATTAGAATTAATATTTCTTCATTGTAATTTAATATTTAAAGGTACAATAGTGCAATTTTGATGAAATGTCAGTCTGTGATAATGCACAACGCCCATTTTGAGGATTTCCCCGAAATTCCCCCGAACTTGGGAGCTTGGGAATACAATTGTTCTGATTGTTGGCAATTACTGATTCGTTGAACCTTAAACTTTCACTTTCCTCAAGGAATAAATGTGAAAATGATCAGTGAGAAATAGTTTTCATTTATCAAGGGAGGTGATAATAGGCTTCGAACAAGGTAAAAGATTCCCTAACAAGTTAGTGGAATCTAGTACGAACGATGTAGTAGTATCAGGAGAAAGTATCCCACGCTTACGAGTATGATATATACAGTGGGCTTCTACACACTCTAAATAGTTTTTAACATTTCTTAGCAGCCGGTTAATAAGTAAGCTTCAAACATTTTCAGAAATCATGGTTTTTGAAACATTAAGTGTATTAATGGATGTAAATCTAAACATAACGTTGAAACAATCACAAACTGAAATTCAAGATCAGTAGTATATCTGGAGGAGTTCAGGGTGTTGATGCTTGTCTGATACTTATCGATCTTTACAGTACTTTTTGAGCCATTAGTCACTCCAATATATTATATTAATATAGGTCTGTCAATCAGTCGTCTACAGATGCATGCATTAAATCATTAGCTCGAGACACAGCATTTGTGAAAGTTCAACAGATCTACAGTACCTTTCTTAGTACGGATGAAATGATTGAAAGATTTCACAAATGCTGTCGAACCTGTTGGTATAGTGTGATGTTTGTATGAACTAATGATTCCCTTGTACTTGATGTCTGACTGTTTTTGAATTCTGAATACAATACGGCCGTTAGTACCCACTTAGTTCTATTTGGTCATAATTGCGTTGTTTCTGGGATTCCTAGTTCGTATAATGGTTCAAATACATTGTAGGGCCAGCGAAATGTCACTAAGCCCTAGCCAAATCATCCGGCAGTTGTGTCATTGAATATCGAGCAAACCATCGATCCTCATCAAGGTCAGGGGCGACCAACACGCATCAGTTAATCGTATGCCATGAACTGGCCCATGTGGCAGTGGTCTCACTTTCACTTGTATCTACTTTAACAAATATATTTCTGTAATAACGTCCTCTGTGTTGTACAGTCTTCAAAGCATCTATAGTACCTTGATACGTCAATGGAGTAGTCTACGTAAGGTGCTGACCACGAGATGTGACTTCGACATTAGCTAGTTTGTCACACCATTCACGTCTAACTCGAGTAGGCGTCCAATAATTTCGACATAGATCATCTACGTTGGTGATCTACAACATCTACTCATCACATAGAGCCACCAATTAATGAGTAAAACCCAGAAGGCAGATTTTGGGTGTCGCCTTTAGCGCTGAAATCCTGTATTCACGATATCTAGTTTATTCATCTCTCTCTTTTTTAGGTTCCACACATAGTTAAAACGTTTGGGGGTTGGTCGAACCACCCGTAGCCATAGTTTTCTATCTTTCAGATTTGGATCTCAATCGGTGCGGTTCGGGCAAGGAAGCTACTGCATACATATCATTTAATAAATAACGGACTGAAAACTGTTGAGAGTTGTTAGGTAGCTCATGTAAATGGGTGGTGGGTACAAAAATGCCATTCTATCTTATCTGTAATCATAGTAATACATCTGAACAAGTATGGCTTGTAATCTGGTGATGACACCGCATTATAACAGCGCGTCATTGTATGCAGATTTGTACAATACGTGAAGATAACAATGTAAAGTCGTAGTTAGCATATATTGTAAGTCTAAAACACACCTTTTACAGATAACCGTCTTTCGATATCGTAACTAGGTCATTTGAAGTTTAGTTATTATATATCCAAATTTCAGAACAAGAGTAATAAAGATGAAGTTACTGTGGATTATGAGAATATAGCACAACTGTGTTTTATACATTATCATGAAATATAGGAGTCAAGGCGAACTTCACACAAATTTCATTTTGACACACTAAGGATACCAGATTGGGTTTGAAAAGCAGTCAGAGGGAGTATAAAGATTCTTCACTAAGTCAAGTGAAAATATGAGTGAGGTAACGTAAGTCAACAGATTGTTCTCCAGGCTTTGAATTGTCACTCAAGTGTATTTTATTTCGGTTAACTATGCAAATACATGAATCAGAGTGAGGAGTTAGAACTAAGAGGTAACTTGTTTCGGTTTGGGCATCCAGGCAATATCACAGCCCTCACACATATCAATAATAACTGCTACTGGCCTGATTGTTATTGTGTGGCGCATATGTATTTGATGCCCCCTTGTACCAATGTTTATGTGTTCAAATAAATAATAGTTAACCTTAGAAGTTAAAATTAAGAATGAGGATTATCGTCTCTGTCATGTCACGGTTCAACACATGATATCTTAAATCAGACTAATTCACCTATAAATTGTTATCCTACCTAGTCGAGTTCTACTCAACATCATCATCTTGAACATGATATCTCACAAATATACTAAAATCAAGACTGGAAAGGGAGAGAAAAGGAATTTTTCTGATTGTTTTCTTATTCCTTTGAATGACCAATTAGTTACTTAATTATGATAACCGACTTTTAATTGACTTTTCAATGAGTTTGACATTTCCCATTTTGCCAAATTACGTTAGCAGATACATTTCAATATATTTCTTGCATAAATTGAATTTAGTTAGATAGATGATATAAGTATTAAGAACAACAATTTCCATCTCATTTTCATTCATCCACTGTTTATTCGCCATTTTTTTAAATTAAAATGATTCGTCCCAACCCGATGTTTCATCTTCTGGTTCTTCTGTTTCTTCTGGATATTCATCAAAGTGTCTGAGATCACTTTGTGACGTTACCTTGTTTAAAGGAGAGAAAAAAAGTGGAGGAATGGGCAAAATCTTAACACAATGTTATATTAAACAAATATAAACAAGATTATTTAGATGTTGCCATCCTTTGAACAAATCAGCTGTAGATTAAAACAAATTAATTCTGACTAAGTACTATAATGCAAGTGAGAACTGAAGTTTCTAGATTTATTCATAGATGTGGACGTATTTAAATATTACTGATAAACTTCAATCCAGAATGAACTAAATTTTCCATGCTACTTGGTTTTTTGATAAGTTTCCAAGCGAAGCCGTTTAAAACTGAAATAATATCCTCCATTACGTGTCTTAATGAAATGAAACTTTAAAAAAGTGAAATATATGTTAACTAGGTAATCTTATTATCAAAATAAATAATATAAACAATTAGTTACCGCAGTGAACTAGGTAATAGAAAAATAACTTCAGTCAAAACCTCATGTCATATGAATACTTATTAGTATTTTTATGTAAAAGGTAAAACATATTCACTTGATCCCTCTAAGATCTAATTTCTAAGTCAAAAATATTTTAAAAGATCACGTGTTGGAACTGAGCAATATATCTCTTTCTCCTAGACAATGATACCGTGGTCTATGTTACTTATTCTGAGATATATAGGTTATATCTAACCGCATTTGGAAGTGAAATACATGTCATTAGGAGATTGAATTAAAGAGAACTGAAAAGAAATCGGAGAGAAATCAAAATAGCAATAGAGTTAGAGGAATAGTGGAGTATACAAAGGACGGAGCAAAGATATGCAAATAATATATTGACTGCATGGTTTTCATGTTTTACGAAAGCACTATGCAGTTTTGAGTTAAAAATGAGTTGGTTTTACGCCCATCAATTTACATACTCTACAACACTAGCTGTCTGCTCAGACGTAAGTGCATGGAACAGACCTGAAACTTATCACTATATGCTAGAAAATCAAGTGCTCCAAATTTTGAGACAGATCTTAATCTCGACCTGGGACTCGTGCTGCTCAAAACTCGTAGTCCAGGTGTGTATGCAGTTTAGAGACGAAAAAAATATTATTCATGTAAATTGAACCCGCTTCGCTCACTGCTGTGTTTGGTAACTTTATACTAATCTGTTGGGGCTGCGTCTGACATCCTGTAGGAATGTGGTTTTCATGCCAGTTTGTCAATGAGTAACAAATAACGTCATGTTATTTATTCTTCATTTAATTCTCCAAAACTTCGGTACCGAAATATTCAAATTTGTTGTTCAGATCTACACATAATAAGGATTAGACGGGGTTACTTAAAGTTTCTGGAGCTAGTGGTACAAGCGTGTTACACACTCAAATATCATCTTTCAACTGTACAAAGAGTCAAGTCGACATTCGCATTCTGGTCTTCAGTCTTTAGAAATAAGTTTTGAGAATAATATTGAGCAGATAAAGGTTTTTAAAGTTTTTAGAAATCATGTCAGCTAGGCCCCCGAATGTCTTGGTACGGCCGGGGGCGAGGAGAGTTAGCTCTCCATCTCGAAATGCACTCACATTGCCACGCGTATACAGCCACTGCCGGGGAGGTCCTTCTCGCAGCAGAGGTGTTGTTTCCGAAATTGAGAGAACGAAACGCGAATGTTCGGTACTTTAACCGGGGTTGGTGGATACGAAGGATCCACTCAGGAGAGTTGGGAAACCTTGATTCCAAATCGATGGTGCACATGAACTCCAGGAGACTGAAGGAACAAATGGCGTACGAACCAAATGTTAGTCATTGGCTACCACGAGAGTGAATCTCCTAAAGTTGCTCCACTGCCTTGTGGATCAGACTTTTTGGTCGAAGGCTCTGTGTGTGACTCCCTAAGGAAACCACCTGTTTCGGTCTGGACACACGGGCAGTATCACAGCCAACACACAAATGAACTAACACGTGTGTGCTCCTTTGTATCGATATTTATATGTTCACATAAATAAATAAATAAAATGTCAGCTATTCATAGTGAACAAAATGGCAATTTAAAAATATAATTAACATGTGCGGTGTTTAAGCTGGCATTTAAATATGTTAAGAACTGATTCTACTAATTAAAAAAATATGTTGAATCACTTGTCTTTCATATGGTGCTTTTAATACTCGTTTACGTAATCCAACCCAATCGAATCCTTCAAACCATACATGCCTTTCGATTTCACGTAGTCCTTCTTTTCCTATGCCATATCGTTCAGTCGGATTTTCACTGTGAAATTTAAAGATGATGAACAAATGAGATGAATAATATTGTTTGACGACATTAAAGTGAACTTATATAAGTTACTAGTTGAATAGACAAATTCTAGTGAATAGAAGAGGTAGTACGCTTAAGTAGAACCTTTGACTTAAGAACAAGATTCATTCCTTCATACTTGACCCAAATATAGTTGAGTGTAAAAACGTTCGATGAATAAAGTCACAAAACGCAGTTCAGTATCGTTACTATGAATAAAAGAAAAAATTATGTTTAATTGTTTGACAGCCCAAAATGTGATTTTTGTTTATACTGTTCCTTTCACTATCAGAACTAATATATTTTTACAGTCATTTTTGTGTGACTATGCTTTCAACTAGAAATCGAAACGAAACCTTGCTGTAGGAACTCGTTGTTGTTCAAATGCATAGCAGCCATTCAGCAACAACTTAGCAATGCCCTAAGTGCGGTCATATTTCTATGACCCATGTTAGTAAAACATCTTGTTTTTATCAGAACAGTTATTGTATTTTAGAGACGACTGATCGGATGAGGAGTCGAATGCGAAACAGCTGACAATAAACAAATATATCTACTCCAATTAGGATTGAATTATTTGTGTCATTTGTAAAAAGGATCACAAAAGCAGTAAAATAACTATTTCATTAGTGTGTATGGTATTATTAAGCATTATGATCAGCTTATAAAATCTCTAACTGGATCTACAAACCAATATATACGTACTTAATCAAGTTAGGAGAAATAAAACATTTTCTAACAAACTTTTTTGAAACATATATCTATCAATAGATTCAATGAAAGGTTTCCACAAGTTCAACATCAACAGTCAAAAGCGTGTGTAGTCGAAAATTGAAATGATGTTTAATGGTTAAAAAGCAGATTATGTAATAAGCCTCAAGAGGTAGGTATTTTATTTATTTAAACAATCTGAAGTATTTTTTTTGAAAAAACCCCGTTTTCAAGCAGAATTTACTGAATGTTTTTTTACATCGTTTATTTGCACATATAAAGAACTAATAACATGGAGTAATTTATTAAATAAATAAATAAATAAATGAACTTACCGACAAAGTTTTTTAACTAAAGATTGAGCATTTTTTGACATTCTTGTTGGAAAATTAACAGCATCTATTCCTTTTAATATAATTCCATATGTGCGCATTGTATCTGGTGATTCAAATGGTGGTCTGTATTGGAAAATTGTTATTGAAATAAAGGAATCAATGTTGAATAAAAAGTAAATTGATACTGTAAATCATAGCGCATAAATTTGCCATTTGTAAAATGAGTCACATTTATATATTTCCTATGATCCATTTATAAATCCATTCACAGTACTTTATATCAATATTGTGGAAAAAGTTATATCGACTATGAAATTGATTAATAATTAATATCTAACTTCAACCAATCCACGAAGTTGCTCCATCGAACACCATTATCTTCAGTGAGCTGATATCTCACAACAAACCTGGTTGAACTCCACTGGCGACGGTGCAACTTCGTGGATTGGTTGAAGTTAGACATTAACACCGTTGGATGCCGGCTCAGTGGTCTAGTGGTCAAGTGCTCGCGCGCGAAGCCAGTAGGTCCTGGGTTCGAGCCCCACGTGGTGCGGGATCGTGGATGCGCACTGCTGAGGAGTCCCATACTAGGACGAAACGTCCGTCCAGTGCTTCCAGGTTTTCAATGGTGGTCTAGCTTCAACTGACTCATGATTTCAACCTGTGAAATTTCCTAAAATTCTCCACAAAACTCATTCTAATAATATTTAGTAGTACAGCTTAACAATTACCACTCATATAGTTTATTAAAATAATTATCTGTTCTTAAAATATATCTGGTTTATTGTATAGATGTATAGTAATACACAAAAACCTTTACATGCCTATATTAGCTATCAGATTCAATAGATAAGTCAAATGAAACCGCAATCACCTGATGATGATTATTTGGTGTGAGAAAAACTAAACAATATTTGTGAACAAATCATTCTTCAATCTGGGGAAAATTCTACATTTTTATATACATAGCTCTGAAAAGAAATGGTGTTGCGTTTTATTAAATATATTGGTTAATTTTAAGTCTTAAACCACAATCTCAGAAGCAGCTTCAGAAAGAAATAAACTTTATCTTTCACCATTTCAAATGTTCTGAATCATTCAAAAATATCAGGTCGACATTCAGTCGAGAATATAGACTATTGAATAGTCTCAAACTGGAACCAAGTAACTGTCCACTGCTTAATGGTTTACAGTGGTTCTGTAACTAATATCAGTGTGTGATGAAAACCACATTTACTCTCTTTGAAAACTGTCATCAATTTGACTTTCCTGATTATATTCAATAAACTACTAATTATAATTGCTTGGTCACTGAGTACTGACCAATCAATCGCAAGTATATTAGTCCTACAAGAGGTCAATCACTGCCCGAATAACTCATGGTAACTTCGCTGACTTTAAAGTTGAGTGACATATGGTTGAGTCCTCCTGGGAGCATTGAATCTCTCAGGGTTACACACACATCTTACTGATGATTGCTAAGTGGCACGAAAGCTAGGTCTAGGATTTCTTGTCGACAACCTCCAAATACTTGACAAAGTTGACATCTATTAACCGATGAAGTGATTTATTGCTCAGTTCATTTTGGAATTAATTATAAAATAATATGTTGAGCTTCATTTTCAGTAACCTGAGGTTCAATGGGGCGGGTTTTCAAACTGACGAGAACATTCTATTTATCAATGCATTGTAACTTCTACCTATCCATTATCACAACTAATGTAATTTTTTTTATTCTCAAATAATAATTAAACCCTGTCTATCGGCTTTGTAATAGGATCACTCGGATGAGTCGCTCGACATCATAGGTCATTTTGTTTGATGTTAAGCTGTCGACGAATGTAAATAAAATGTAGGTCGACAGAACATTTATGTTGGTTTTCAATATGAAATTTCTTCCATCATGACAAAAATAAAGCTTCCGTTTACGGTTTTGAAGTAGTATCTCCTAAAACCACTGATACAAACATTATTACTAGACTGTTATGTCTTTATATGAAGTTTTAAGTAATATGAAGTTTAAGCTGATAGTATTAGTTTTATTACGTTCAATTATTCAATTATTGATGCAATACATACCTCTATCCACCACATTGTAACTAAAAGGGTTAATCTGTAAGGTATTATGATAGCGAAATAGACCATCATAATGGATTTAATGTGAACTTTGAGAGGTTTCACAAAGTGGCTCCTTGGAACATTTTTAAAAATAACGTATTTATAGTACGTCATTATGTAAAGAATAAATAGTTTTGAGATTTCAGTGTGTTGAGTTACTTTGAAGTAGTTATAGATAGATATTTATACAATAATACAGAGGATTCATAACAAAATTATATGAACTTATAATGAGGATCCTAGTTGTTATATTGTATGACCGAAATACTAGAAACTAAATTCTTGAATCCAAGAAGAACGTAAATAATTAACTTGATGAATTTAATTGTCATTCATATATGAGGTCAGGCATCAGAGATTGTTTGTTCCATTTCGTTCTGAGTTCAGCAATCGCTTTCAATTATATTTTATTGAGAATCTGATATGCGTTAGTGAGAGAGAAATATGACTGGACAAACGGACACTTGGCCTAGTAACTATTAATTATAAATTTTCCTTTCGTGTTATTGATTCCTACTCTAGACTCACTGAAGGTGACTGCTTGTACCTGCGTTGAATAAAGTATTATCTAGTGTTAATCTGGTTCTCTGTTCTTAGTTGCGAATCGTATATCTGATAATAACATGACCAGTCTCATCGTATTGACGTATTATCGTAGTGTACCGGAGAAAGAAATATATGAAACATCCTGTTATATCAGAATCATAACATAATTATTGATATTATAAGTGGTTGTTGAAATAGTAGGACTTTGGTCACTTCTGATATCATCTGTTAACCGTTAACGTCATTTTATGACAATATGTAGAGACTTCCACAGCTTAGTTTTATTTGGCTGGCAATCATTTTGACAAAAATGACGGTTTAAAACAATCGAAGTTAACGGTGGAAGATCCGATCATTCATCAATTAGACTGTAAATATATTGGGGTAAAATTTATTTCAAAACAAAAGTAAAGAATTCGTGTTTTGATAACATTGATAATAATAATAATAATAATAATAATAATAATAATAATGATAATAATAATATTCAAGAACACTTACAAGCCTGTCAGTAGTTCAAATAACAATACACCTAATGACCAATGATCAACAGCAATATCATGACCTTTATTTAATATTACTTCGGGTGCCATATACTCTGGTGTACCACAGAATGTCCATGTTTTAGCTCCATATGATAATTGTTTAGCAAATCCAAGATCTGTCTGTATGTGTATATGTGGTTAGTACAGGAAAGTTAGAAAAACAAAGAAACCATTTTAGGAGTAGGAAACACAAAATATAACCAGTTAAAGTTTATTGGAGTCGGTTATTCAGTAATGAACATAGAAGTATCTTGTTCGGAAAATTTTCCACCTGTTAATTTTTAAGGTGAAACAAATGAATAACTGTTTCATCTAGGCTTGGGACTACTTTGTGATGCACACATACGAACACCGATTGAATGATTCCAAGAATCTTCTAGTTACAATTCGAGTGCGTCATACTTAGACAACTAAGCAGCAATCTAATGATCCACAGCTCCAACTTTGAACAGTCAATAATAAAAGACGACCATTCTATGCCAATGATGATATATTGTCCAGTATAATCAAGTTCTGTTGATTCGACTAGTTTAGATTCACTTTTATTTTCTGACTTGCCTACATACAGAAAACACGAACCATCAAATTTCCGATAGATTTACTAAAAAATCGTACTAAGTACTAGATACTGGTTTTCACCACATATTGGGCAATTAGTGCACATCACTAAAGGGTCTAAGACAAAATCTTGAACAAGCTATCCACTAATCCATAATTTTTGATATCTTCCTAAATTATATCATTTTAAAGTAAAAGGTAAATTGTTGCTAAACGATCTCCTCAAATTTTCTGACTTACAAACTATGTTTACGACTCTAAATGGTAGTTAAAAGTTTCAAGACTAAGCATAATATCTATCCATTAATCTTAATAATATAGTGATTAATCACTTAATCTATGGGGCACATCAAAATCTATATTCATACTTACTAGCTTACAATATCCTTGTGTATCCAGCATAATATTTTCCGGTTTTAAATCACGATACACAATATTTTTCCTATGTAAGTAATCCAATGCTTCAACTACACATGCCACATAGAATTGTGTAGCTTGTTCCGTGAAAAAATATCTATTTATACAATAAAGAAACATATAGGGAAATCACCACTCAATTATTAAAGTATTATCACAGATTGAAATCATGAGTCAGTTGAAGCTAGACCACCATTGAAATCCTGGAAGCACTGGACGGCCGTTTCGTCCTAGTATGGGACTCCTCAGCAGTGCGCATCCACGAGGAGTCCCATACTAGGACGAAACGGCCGTCCAGTGCTTCCAGGTTTTCAATGATGGTCTAGCTTCAACTGACTCATGATCTAAATCTGTGAAAATTTCTAAAATCTCCACAAACCCCTTCTGATAACAATGATATTTGTTTAATTATATGATATTCTAGTAATTATAGTAATTGTGAAAATTATTGAGTAGTTATAATGTAATTAATTATTTTTGGTAGCGTAGTTGGTCATTTTATAAAGAACTAGTTAGCGAGATCATAATTAATGGACGAACCAATCAGGTATAAGATAACAAGTCTTAAATTCACTCAGCCATTCGGTTAAATAAAGGTTTGACATTATAGCTCATGCCAGTTTGTGATGAAAACCCCTTAATCTAATTCCTAACCTTAACCATCAACTGTAAATCATAATTTTAATTATCCATAGTGCTTTTTAACCCTCATTTGGTTCTAGTTATTAGGTGGACACTATCAATGTCATTTCAGTGTCACTCGTAGGTCGTCCATAAATTATAGTCTCACCGTTTTTATTAATCACAAAGTCATAATGTAATCAGATTTGGTTAATTGCTTAATAAATATAAAAGTTTTCAGTACTTATTTTAGTTAAACGGTTCATGAACAATAAATGTGTGAGATGACCATGCAATTTTTTTATTTTTAGAACATAAAAACTTTACATTATATCTTACTATTGATTCTATTTTAAATGAGAATTATTTATTTTATAGTTGAATTCATGAGCCAATTAAAGCTGGACCACCATGGAAAGCCTGGAAGCACTGAACGGCAATTTCGTCCTAGTATGGGACTCTTCAATAGTGCGCATCCACGATCCCGCCTTGCGGGATTCGAAACCAGGACCTTCGGTCTCGCGCACGGACACTTAACTTCTAGACCACTGAGTCGGCATCCATTGGTGGTAATGTCTAACTTTAATCAATCCACAAATCTTATTATATTTAAAGACGTCTTAAAGTATGTTACTTTACCATACGAAAAATAAACTAATGAAACACTATCAATGTACATGTAATAAAAGATTAACGGATTAAAGGAGAGTGGTAGTAGAATTCTCATGTTAGAAAGTAAAACCATAGTGGAGTGAGTTGTTTGAGTTCATCTTTAGTTCATTCATTTTGAGACTTACTGCAGGTATAAGAAAATTTCAATAATACAAAAGAGGTGAAGATGTACTATCTGTGGTAAGTTACTTTTTAATTTTTAAATAACTGAAATATTAGTCTATTTTAATTCGACCACATATATTAACAAAATGCTTATTATTTCACATATTATGCACCTGTCACTGCCTCTTTTCAACTGAACAAACTAATGCTCTTGAACTATTTAAACACAATGATCACCATCTATAAGAACAAGTGAATTAACAAATATGTAATGAATTTTTTGTAACAATGTTATATCTTAAATGATGTATCTTTTTCTCTAGAAATTTGTCTTTTCAGTAATCTAAGCTGCATTTCAGAGTAGTGATTCAGAGTATACTATTGTAGCTGCTAATAAATTGTTATGTTCAACGTTTGCTCAATTTTGTTGTTGTTGTTGACATTTACTATTCTTTAATGCAGTGTTAAGTACATAGTTATTATGTCCTGTATGTGATATTGTGTACAATTGCAAACCTGTATTTCAGTTTGTTGCTTTAGACAAATTGTCAGTTCAACATGATATTTTACTTCTGCATGACAAATCATTTTCAATGTAAAGTCTGTGAAGATATGAAGTTAGTGAAGTTCGTGAAGAAAGGTTCAATAAAAATGTCAAAAGCATTGAACCGTATTGTGTTATAAAACAGAAAATCACTAAATTCATGGAGTTTGCTATGCTTTTTGCATTATATAAAGTAACGTGATGCCCATTTACTCAATGAAAATCAATTTGATCAGCTATGCAGTAGTAATTAACGAAATTTTTTGTTTAAGTCTGTATTTATCATAAACCTCAGTTGTTGGATTATTTAACTTACTCGTTTTCATTTTATTAAAAATATGAATAGATGGGCTTTTTAGCTCCCTTCTTAATCTTATCCAAATTCTTATTGTTGATGTCATATCTTTTCATTTTCTAGTGGAAACTCTCGAAAATGTTACTCTTCAAACTTCTTATAGTAGGAATTCTTAAGCTTGGAGTGAATGAGGCTGTTTTTTTTAAACTTTAGTAGTAACCAAAATGAATGAAACAGAAATCAGAAAATAACATAAACAATCACAATAATGAACCTTATGATAAAATAAATAATGAGTTAGTAGATGCTTTTTTCGTTTAGTAGACCGTTCAAAGGAATGCACAACAACAAAATTAACTGAATTCAGTGAATTCATTCCATTTGAAAGTTTCTTAACAGCTGCATTCGGAATAAAGTTATAAAAAGTGATACGGTGAGATTATAATTAATGGACGAACCAATCAGGTAAAAAATAACAAGTCTTAAATTCACTCAGCCATTCGGTTAAATAAAGGTTTGACATTATAGCTCATGCCAGTTTGTGATGAAAACCCCTTAATCTAATTCCTAACCTTAACCATCAACTGTAAATCATAATTTTAATTATCCATAGTGGTTTGTAACCCTCATTTGGTTCTAGTTATTAGGTGGACACTATCAATGTCATTTCAGCGTCGCTCGTAGGTCGTCCATAAATTATAGTCTCACCAGTAATCTAATTAGAACTTAGTAAGTTAAATATTGTTTACAACTGACAAGAACCTTCTTCCTTTATTCCGATTTATCAAGAGAAATAAAAAGTGTGAAAAATATTTTTATATTGTTGTTTAGTAAATTTCAAAATTGGATAATCAAACAAATCGATAATTGGAAATCACGGCAACACAACTAATCTCATGCAGATATTGAGAAGAAAAAAAAACACACGTATGTTTCATAAACAAACCCTTTTGTTCTCCTTCATATTTTGTATAAAGAAGAAAAATGAATACGTGTAGAATAAAGCATTTTATGTGTAAAATAATTTATATAAATAAAACCATGTATCTAGTACAACTTTTTGAATATTACTAAAAAGATATAAACAATAAAACAAAATTATTATTATCATTACATTGTCAATTGACTAATGATATCAACTATTGAAATTACAACAATCCCCACAAAACCTTTTTTGATATGAACCAACATATGCTCACTAGTGACTAGCATCAAGAGGTATATCCAGGAGTTTTAGTGAGAACCAGTGACCAATGGAGTTCAACTGGGTCAGTTGTGATATAGTAGCTCACTGAAGACAATGATGGATGTGTCACTCAACTTTTTGTATTATTTAAAGTTAAACATTAACACCGTTAGATCCCAGCCATCTCTGTGGTCTAGAGGTTAAGCGGTTGCGCGCGAGACTGATAGGTTCTGGGTTCAAATCCTGCGAGGTGGGATCCTGGATGCGCACTGCTCAGGAGTCCCACAATAGGACGAAACGGCAGTCCAGTGCTTCCAGGTTTTCCATGCTGATCTAGCTTCAATCGACTCGATCTCAACTATTGAAATGACTAAAATGTACTCAAAACCCCTTCTAATACATTTGTAATCGATACAGAGTAATACAAATCAAACTATCTGATAGAAATTTATTTAGTTTAAGGATAGTTTTGTAGGTCTTAAGGTAACGAAGATATCATTTAGCTATTATTAACAAAATTATTATGTTAGTCGCTTTTAGCTTTAATCAATTCCTAATGGATGAAGAGATTCGATAATCCAAGGAGTTGACTATATCATTTATTAAAGTAAATGAAAATCATGCAATATCATTCGGAAATTGACTTTATTTTAAATTGTTCTTTATAAGACCTGAAGGTATAGTTTGATTATGATAAAACTCATTGATGTCTATTTATATTCAATAAATAACTGTCGAATGTTCGTTAGTTTCCAGTGATTTGCCATGAAAATCAGTTCTAGTATACAATAATAAACAATATCTTTAGTTATACAAAATGATAAGGTTAATAAACAGATAATAGTGAAACTATATGGTTGTTGCACTATCTCAGTTTGTTTTACAAATAGAAAATACCATTCAGGCATTAAACTCTATGGTTTACAGTTAGATCTCATATGTTCAATGCATAGGATGCCTATTGAATGATAACAAACTTTCTTCCTTTAATTAAAATAGTTCTTTTTTCATGTTATTTTTAAATAACACCTTATTATTCGAATATTCATCACGAAAGTGTCATTAGAAAAATGGTTAAACAAGGAAACATTCATTGTGAATATACTAGAAAAGTAGTTAATGTATCTATACTTGATTATTTGGATTAAATCTAACAGTTTATTTCAAAGTCTAATTATAGTACAGTGAATATAACAGAAATTTGCTTCATTTCAAATCTAACTGAAAAAAGCTATTGAAAACTCTATAAAGTAACTTAATTTAGACGTTTTGATTACAAGTTAGGTCGAAATTATAATTTATGGGCGAACCAATCAAATATAAGATAATAAGTCTTGGATTTTGGAGAGAAATTCACTCATCCATTTGGTTAGGTAGAGTTTTAGCATTATAGCTCATGTCAGTTCGTAATGAAGACTCTAAATCTAATTCCTAACCTTAACCATCAACTATAAATCATAATTTTGATTCTCCACACTGGTTTATAACCCTCATTTAGCTATAGTAAGTAGATAGATACTCTCAAGGTCACTTTGGTGTCGCTCAAAAGTCAATAAATTACAGTCTCACCAAAGTTAGTTTTTATTACGGTTTAATCTAAGCTGGAAAACAAATTGAATAATCTCTGGGCACTGGACGGGTACCCCGTTTTGTATCAATAGACCTTAATGATTCATTTGAATGACTCAAGTGATTAAACCAAAGATATTGGAATTTAAAATGGATCACGTTGTCTTCAAGTAGATGAGTCGGAACCCGATGGTTGACTTTTTCACCTTCAACCAACTAATGGTATTGTAGGCTAGCCATCTAATACCATTTATGGTATTTGTTCAAATTCCAATATGATCGAGTTTTATCTGTCACAGCTTCTTAGAAACATATCTGAAACTTACCTGGAAAAATAACTAGCTAACGGAACATTACTTTTAAGGTAGGAGTTAGTAGTGATAGTTTAATTTTCAATTATTTCTTATCAGTGGCTAATTGTGATGATGTCATGAAACTTAAGATTTTATGAACTTTTGTTTGATACGAATAAATCTATAGTTACTTAAAGATAAATACGTAAACATACACAATGATTTATAATCTGAAAAACTCTCAGTAAAATAGAAATATCAGTGTGGACTTCAAAATTATTCACGAAGAGAAATTTAAACAAAAATATTCCACGAGAATACTTTTGGCTTATTATTGTTGAATAATATTCGAAAGTAGAAACCATAGTCATCAGTCATAGTTTTCATCTAGCTAGATTCAATTGATGAAGCACAAATAGATCATTTTGTTCAATCAAACGAGAATTCAATAGCAGTATAAGCTGATTAGTTTAGTTCATAATGTTGAATCAGTTTTCACCTCTTTCAAAAGTGAGTAATAAGTAATACTCACATTTTGAACTTCTAATACTGAGAATGGACGCTCGTAATTTTACAGCAATCGGCGCTAACTGTTTATCAGGAAATAACTATATCACATAAAATAACAAGATTAATGTATGCTGAAAAGAAATTGAAGTCCCTTGATGGATTTAATTGTCAACTCACTTGTCCTTTAGAAGTGACCAAAGTTCACCACCCAGACATACTTCAAGCAGTAAATAGACATATTTATTATCTCTGAATGTTTTGCATAGTCTGAAAAGAAGCGACAACAAAATAGAGAGGAAAAAATAAAAGCCTAAGTGGACAGTATTGTTTTCTTAATGATAAACTGAGAAATCTTTTATGATAAACTAGCCAAATCAATGAGTTGAAAGATGAGAACCAAATGCCTTTATCATCAAGTTTTTGTTGACTTGAACTTTGAATATAAATGAAAATTATTATGAGCATTTTGTTAACCTGTCATACTATGTATAAGAAAGCAACTTCACTTATTGCGTAACTGAACCATTACTTATTCATTAAGACATACTCAAAACTTAGTTTTAATCCCTGTTACACCGGTTAATTATCTAATCACTCTATTATTAATACTGTAACTACATTACCGTCACTTCATATAGATCCTTGACAAATAAAAGTGATTTAGTCTCAAGTAATTTGGTTTAATTACATATTCTCTATCATTTTTCCAAGGTTTTCTATCTCGTCTCGAATTTTCATGACAGATTCATTAATGAAAGTATGTTAAACCTTTTTTCAAGTCATACAATTCATTGTCGGTATCCTTGTACGACAGTGCTTGTTAATTAGTCATACAGTATTTTTCATTACCGTACTGATTCATACAGAAACAGAAAATGGCTCTCCCTTCCAGTCAATTACAGTTACTATTTCAGCGACAACAGCAGCGTTTTAAAAAGAATCAGTTGGAATTTATAAGCAATTTACTCACACGAGTGCCGAATCATTCATGCTTTGGAGATGTGACGGGAGTTAATCAACTAATTTCTAAATTGCGTACAGAGCTCGAAAATGATTGCATAATGAGTGCATGTGCCAGTGAAGGCCTACATGAATCCTTGACAAGCAGTAATGTAAACGAAACAGTAGCAATCATACATGATCCGCCCAGTGGTCCTAGGATGTTCATTTCACAAACATGTCCTGTAGTGGGTTCAAATTCCATTATTTCCGAAACATAATGTACAAACACTGACTTTTGCAGCTCACATAAGTATGATGTCAGGTTAAATGTTTATGAAATTGTTGCAGTACTCGCCCACGAAAAAAACAGGAAATAAAACAAGCAACATAATACAGTTGCACCAAATGAAGCTCATCATTCAGCGACAAAAGTTTCTGATAAATCTACTTATCGGGATTCTCTAGTTGCGCTATCAGATATGAGTTATCTTAATGACACACAAGTTTTTGATCAAATTTCTTACAAAAATGAGAAAAAGGATGTCAGATTTATCAAATGATGATCAAGAACGCAATGAAATTTTGATAGATGCTGATTATCCTAGTGATCCATTAAATACTAATAAGATTTTCAATAGATTTTATGAAATTTTTTCAGAAGAATCAAACCCTAATGACCTCATATCAAGCGTCGGTGATCTTTATCATCTAGTCATTTCTAGTCGACTCTCTATTCAATACTGGAAATATGTGTTAAATAGAGTTACATTGACTGTAACTTGGGGATATGATGACCCAACATTATTTCGTGAAGGAGGAAGAAATATAAAGTCAGGATCCAAACTTCGATTCTTCAAAAAAGGAAGGGGAGGTGATATGATGGGACGAAAAGTCAAAATTCGATTGATTTACTCATTATAGTTTTTAATTCAACATTACTTCCATTTCGATTCAATATGATGTTTATTCAGTATAGTGTTTGTTTTGCTTTCCCGTATGATATTTTATTCTGCATAATATATAATATTCTTGTATTTAATCGACAATATATATCGGTGGCGACGGGGTGAAAAAAAAAGAACCAAGTTAAGCTAGTAATTGGATGAAAAGCAGTGTAATTATTTCTGACAATCCGTATACAGAATTATCATCGTTGTCGTCGTGTTTTGAGGATCAATAAATCAGTAACCCCATTAATTGTATACTTTCAATGAGAAGTTAGGGATTCATTTTTTCATTCATTTTTTTCCCTAAATTTTATTGTTTTCACTTTAAAGGGAACAGTACAAAGTCTTACAGCTTTTAACATTAACACCAATAATTTTGCTTAGATGAATGACAGAAATTCATTTAGGTTGAATATTGATTTTAAGTCGAAAATTAAAACTTTTAAAATATTCAATCTTAATTATTTTCATATAAACAACCCTCTTGTTTCAGTACTATGGAGATAAATATGTAAGAATAAAACACACAACGAACATAAGCAAAGATGGATAGCGGCTAGCAGTAAAATCTAGGACGCGAGTTTCGTCTTATTTGGGACTCGTCCGTTGAATATGCCTGCATCTCAGAGTTGATGTTCACTCTGGGACTCGAACTCAGTAACATTCGCTTCAAACGCCATCGCGTTATCCACTCAGCTACTGAGTTATGATAGCCACTTGCTTTCGCTCCCTGGATTCCACTGATAGTCACTACCCATCTCTGCCTATAAAGCTTGTGAGTTAGGGCAATATTGAGGTAATACGGACAGTATGCACATATGCCAATAACAGACTGATCAATTTCAGTCTTAAACTTCAATGGGAAGGTTCAAGCAAAACAATACTAAGTGAACAAAATGAATATATTTACAAACAATCGATCAATATAAACGTATAGGATTAGTATCAAGAAGGTATAAAACTATGTCCACTTAGATTGATATCAACGATATAAATGTTACACAAAATAAAAAAACAATCAACAGTTTTACTATTTAATTGTAAGAGATCCCTTATTCATAATCACCATGTGAAAAGATGCTTCACGGTTTAAAAATCAATTTATATGTACTAATTTCATTTGAGAATGAATTAATTATTGTTGAACGAATCGCACAAAAGAGTGCAAAGGTATTTCATTCATAAATTATATAAATAATGATGGTATGTTTAACACGGATGTTGCCATTTTAGTGTTTAACTTAAATTTAAAAAAAAGAAATGATTATGCTTGAAGTTTAAATCTCAAGTTTATTTGACCATGAAGATGTTCATTAACTAGACTTGGTACCATGAGAATTGATGCTTAAATGATTAAACAACATACTTAAAACTTCAAGAGATCAATGTAAATAGTGTTAGCTTTTGTTGTTAGGAGGCTAAAATATCTCATGGATCAGTGTTTACAGATTGATGAGCTATTGAATAACAGTAACATCTTGAAATTAAAAAGTAGCAGTCACATTCGTCAGTACCAAAAGTGTGACCTTAAATGACCATAAGGCTGCTCAGCTAGTTAATGTAATGTTTGCTACTTAAACTTATTTAACCTTTTTGTGCAGGTGTGACCATAAAGGTCGTGTGCACTACTTGTACGGACGGATATAAGTAGTCCGTATTAGGAACCGAAAGTAGAATTCTTACAGACAGAAGAGAAAAGTGAAGAGACGGAAAAGTAAAACAGAAAGCAATTAAAATAACAATAGGAATAGAAAAGAAAACTCAAGGAAGATAGGCGAATAGTGTATTGAATGTATTGTTTTCATATTTTACATGTTCAGTGTATGATTTGAAACATCATTTGTGATCAAGTAATCATTAACAAAGTACCACTCAAAATGATTTAAAATCCTCACTTATAATCACAATTTAAACATTAAGATAAGTAATAATCAACGAGACATGAATTATATGTTTTATTTTTAGGTTTGATCAATGCCATTCGTTGTATTGTTGAAGGTGATCAGTATTCAGTAAATCACATCTACTTGATAAATATATTTATGGAATCTTGAAGAATCATATAATGTTCTAAAGCACTGGAATGTGAATATTTTGGCAATCTATACTCTTTTTATTTATATTTGGAAATCAGTAATTGACAATAATCGAAAAAATAATAATTTCTCATTTGACAGACAACCATATAGATTTATGTTGAATTGTTTAGATGTAAGAATCAGTTAATAAAGTACTAAGTATAAATCGTATTTCAAGAAATTGATAATTTAAAGCAAAAATAATATATCTTTAAATAAAATCTAAAACGCCCTTTTGATATCGATCGTTGTAGGACTGTCGAAATGATCTTATTCCTCTCGTTATATATGGTACATTAAGTAAGAATAGTAAACTTCATTGAGAAATAATGTCTGTCATACATAAACTGGTATTTCATGATGTCTGGTCATCTGTATTGATAGATTTTGAAAAGATGATAGGAAATCGTAAGACCTTTATTCAAACACCGTACGATGAAAATACTAACTGGACATTACAGTTTATTAAGAATTTTAACATAAATATGAAAAGTTTCGAGTATCAGGCAAATAAACAAGTGTATTGTGTATAAATAAATGTCAAATTTTAAAGTGGCAAACACATTTTACCATAGAAACACTCACCTTACAATAAAATCACAATCTGTATGTAACATAATATTACGTTCATTTATTACATGTTCCTCTTGTTTTGTTTCAATAATATGCTGTTTTTTCATCTTTTTTAAAGCATATGTTTTTGTCTTATCACTTCCTATACTTACCTGTAGATTAAGCAGAAAATATAAATCAACGAGATTAACAAATGGGAAAAAAGTATGAACAAAAGGTATTCTGAACTTTCGTCTAAATTTGATTGAATAGTTTTACAGTATTTGAGCGCCGATTTGATATGAGACATTAAAGAGGAAGAATATATTTGTAAAATCTTAGCGAAAGAATTTGAAGTAAATTGAACGTTTTGCCTGACAATCTGCTTCAAGCTTTTTCGTTTATAATAAATCGTGATAAATCGATTTAGAATTAAAGAGAGATTTATTCATCTGAAGTTGTTTAAAAGTGTCCATAAAACTAATTTTGTTTACTGTTCAGCTTGTAAACTTTCTAACACAAAGTAATCTTAGACTACTCATATGATCATTTTAGATGAATGTAAGTATCGTAGTTTTTGACACTTCAGTACGTTGCATAGATGTTTCTAAAGGTGAACAGTTTGTTTACATGATAATAAACAAAATAATTCTCTTGTTCACTAAAGTATCAATCAAGGTTTATCACTGAATACTTGTGTTCTGTCTTTTTCATAGTGTTATAAACTGTCATATTCATACTAAATACTATGCAGTAACTTAGCTAATGGTTGTATTGCACCTTAAGATTTGGACAAAATTTGTTCGTATTCTGAGAATGATGATTTTATGGATCTCAGTCATACATCAGGCTGGACACAACTCAAATATCTCAGTGGTAACATGAGTATGACATTGACTGAAATATGTACAGACCACAAAGCAATTATTAGTTTCCCCATGATTGTAAATACATCTTGCTAAAACGTACCAACTATAAGGCAATTTCGGACTTGAACTTTGTGCTAATTATCTTCAACCGCTTATGAGTTATTTACTTCAAAACAAATTTCTATTAAAACTCGAAAGAAATCACATGCAACTGGAAAATATGTGAAACAAATTGTCAAATAAAAAAGTGGTCTATTAAGTTTGCATAAATCCTTTAAATACATTTCATATTACTTACGAGCTCAACACGACCAAAACCTCCAGAACCCAAAGTAGACATAATTTTTAGATCTTGAAATTGTAAGTTTTGAAATTCTGGCTTGTATTCTTCAATTCTGAAAGAAGTGTTAAAACAACATAATAGACAGTGCTTTCATTCACTCTGAATAATAATAATAACAATTAACCGGAATTTATGATTATTTAAATCTGTAGATTCACCAGCACAAACTGGGAGTTCAGGGTAGATGGCAGTATTATGTTGGCGATTATGGATATAGATTTTATGATAATTGACATTGGTCGGCAAAGTATTGGTGTTGTCCAGGGAGAACTGGCAATCGAATATAATTGGTAAATTTTCGCACGAACTAAGAACTAGATTAGATAGTATATGTTAATATACAGAGACTAATTCGTGTAGATTGTGAACGAATGAGAGTTAAGAGTTAAAAGTCGATTGTATTACTTGATTTGCTTTGAAATTTACCGTTTTTTTAATTATCACATTTAAGAATGCCAACGGTATCTAATTGTAATATGAAGAAAACCGATCTCATCGACTGTTTGTTATCTTATTGAAATCATCTTAAATTGTCTAGTTTAACTATTTGATAATGATGAGATTGTGTTTTAGTTGGATCTAAATATTAACATATAGTTCACTACTCTACTTAATATAAACCGAATGATCTTTATTAGTTTGCTATATTCAAGTAATATGTTTGCAAATACTCAACGACCTTCTGAAAAACCACTGAATGATACTGAGATATTCCAGTCTTGTAGCTTGAATATGAATATTTTGTAAGGTTTACTTATTGTTCAACAGCAGTTATAGTCGATTAAATATTACAATACAGGGATATAATTTATTTGATATATGAGAGTGAAGTTTTGAGTTGGTTGGTGAATTTAACAGTATATATATTCAGAGAACTGTTTCACCAGTACGTTATATACATGTATTTATTACTAATATCAAAATGAGCTGCCAAAACTACTGGAAAAGTTTTGTTTTAAATGAACTGGTTATAATGTTGCCTGATGGCAACCTAATCACTGTCCTCACTTTGTGGGCAAGTTTTGATAACTGTCCTGCCTCTTACATATATCTTGAGCTTGTTACCAGTGTATACGGCATGAATAATTAAGGACGATTCCTTGATTTGTTCATCTAGTATATCGTAGTTACTTCACAACTTGAGAGATTTTTTTACAAACATATCTGAAGGATAGGAAGAAGAGAGGAATTACGTGAGTTGGATCACTAAGCATTCAGCCACTGAGTTGTAGGTCTGAATACAGATCCGCTTTTTTCCACTTAACTTACAGGATTTCATAATTGCCTTTATTCTAATGAAGTCTGGCTGAAGGTAAAGTGCACGAAGATGAACTTGGTTACTAAGTTGAAGGGAATTGTAAAAGTATTTGTAACCATATGTAAAAGCCACTAGATAGAGTAAAATAAATTGACATGTATGAAGAGAGTTGTATTCAATGAAATTAATAACTTAACGAAGGGAAACATTTTAAAGTGCCTTTCACCTATACTTAATTATGAATATTATAGCAATCATATCGTTCTCGTCCTTGAAACGTAAGAGGATGATGGAGACTAGTTTACATTGCAGATAATTTTCGTAACCATCTGATATCAGCTAGAGAATTATTGGAAAGCACTGAGGACTAAACATATAATTCATCTTAGTGTGGAAATGTTCGACAGCCCGTAGACATGATCCAATATGTAATCGAGCTAAGAATATTAAATTTCTTAGTCAGCTCATTACATTTGTACCAGTAAGTTTATTCAATTCACGATATTGCGTGACTAAAATTTGATTGGATTTGTGGGAGACTGTTCTCTACTTATTTCGTTCAAACTCCAACCAGTCATGACTTGTCATTAGAACTTGGAAGTATTCTGAAACCCAAACACCTGTGAGACTTCTTGGGGTGTCCTTAACTTAGAAGAAGTATCAGTTCTGTGCTCTAGATGATGTCAGTCCATAAACAAAATCTATCTATAAATTAAAATTTAATTTAGAGCCTGAACGTTTTCTTCAATTCTGACTGTATATCAGGAAAAATAAAAAGAAGTATTCGTCATAACCATTATTGTGAACAACACAAAACGTTTAATTATTAAATAATAATAAATGCAATGAACTTAAAATTATTCTAAATCATTGTACGTATTTTGTAAGTAAATTTGCAACAAGGAACTATGCATATTGATAAGCGAAAATGCACATATGCGAATAAGAGAGTGATCGATTGCAGTGCTAAATACCAATGGGAAGATTCAAGTAAACAATACCAAGTGAATTTATGTATGTTGATGTTATATATTACAAATATATTGATGTATGTGGTAAAATAACTACCGCTCTGAGATCATTAACCAGTATCCCTAGTATAACACATATGTGTTGTTTCAACATCTTTCTGCAAAATCATCTCTTTAATTAAGTTGCTGAGAAACTGTCAAAAGTCAATTCATTTATTATCCTCTGAACTTCGTGATTAAAAGTTTGTTTAAAATTTCATAAGCTATGAGAAAACGTACGTAGTTTCTTGCGGTTTTTCTTGTGAATATCGCCTTTTTAATGCAGCCAAATCAGCAATCAGAAGACTATATGACCTAAGAATAAAAAGGAATTGATAAACAATTAATTTTATTGACTTTGGGAAAAATACTACTCAGTAAAATGGAAAGTAGTCAGATATTTCACTATCAAAATGCATTACTTCACGAAGCGTTAACCACAGTCGGCTGAAGAAAATGATTTTAGTTGCTATTTTAGAATTTTCAGTATACAATAACTCAAGCTCAGCATCTTGGAAGATGTGAATCTGTAACTGACCTCTAAGAGCAACATATTATATATTCTTCAGTGTTAATTAAGTTTCTCTATCATTCAGTGCTGAGAGTGGTCGAGAGGAGCAGCCAGAAGAATGAGTCTAGCTCGTGAGTTATTTGTTTTCATTAAACCATTTCTCCAAACTTCATAGTAGTTGTATTGTATAAAACAAATGAGCTGGTCAAACTGAGTTAATGTGAAGAATTTAAGTTAACTTTCTGATTCCACGACAGAGGTGTTAAATCACTTTCATAATAAATAAACCTCAAATTTTTGTGAACATCAAACAGATGACTGTACCTAGTTTTTTTTTCAATTCACCTACTCTGCTGAAATCGATGTTGGCTGGTTGTGAACAGTGCTCAGTGATCACTATTTCAGGGAAAAGAGCGTAATTTATAAGCTTTTTTGAATAGCTTTTCTTATTAGAAATTAATCTTTGACGCAACCGATGAATTACAAAGAGTGCTGTTAAAATTAAAAAGTTTCAAAGAATTTTGAGTTGTCTTAAACCAAATAGCACTATACATGTATTCCTCGGCGTTTTTTCCTGACCATTCAGAATCGTGCGATTGATTCTACACAAGACTGGACCTAAGACCCTCAAATTTTGTGTTGAGTACGACAACGGTATACTGAACCATTTAAAAAATTGTTTATTCTAATAATTCTATATTTTTCATAGTATTCAAAATCTCATCTATTTGTTCACTTGTCGAATAGAGAAATTAATCACTCTGAGAAATTTATCTTAACAGATAAACCACTGATTTGTTATTCAATATAATGGATATTAATGTAAACATAGAGTTTGAACAAATTTTATATTGAAAATATAATATATATGTGACTTACTCTAAATCCAAAGCTAAACATGTTACCCCTTCATCTCCAGTTGCAATAATATTGGCCGTTCGTAAATTATCACTAAATTAAAGAATAAAAATGGAAGTAATCATTTTATTGATTAAGTTAAATGCTAATTAATGAACATTAGGAGTATTTCATATTGAAGTATTGTGTGGGTTTCAGTTGGAATATTGTATGAAAGACCAACTTCTGTTCGAAATGTTGTGCAGGAAAACAATGAATGGTTCACATTTAAGCCATGTAGCTCAGAAAATGTAACAAAACCAATATTCATATCAACAAAACTTACATACAATCATCCAGAGTTATCATGTTAAATAGTTCATTTTATTCAGTGCTTTTTGTGTTACAAACCAATGGTAGCTATGTATACAGTAACGTTAATATTCAATTTATCAAATTAGTAATAATTAGCAACCGATTCATTATGAGAGAAAAAAAAGTTAGTCACTGCCTTTATGAACATGAAATTACCCAGTTAATGCTTTTTCACCAAACCAATCTCCTCTACCTAGTGTACGTACAAACTGAGGTTCTTTTGTACGATCAATTACTCCATTCTCTGTTGTTGGATAAATGGTCACCTTCACATGACCATCAGCAATTATATAGAAATTGTCACCTCTTGCACCTTGACGTATTATATATTCATTTGGACGATAAGTAACTTCATTCAGTTGATCTGCTAATTTTGATATTGTACTATCTGGTAAATTACTAAATGTTGGTACACTAAAAGAAAAGAAAAAGTTAAGAAATGAACGTCAATTTAATGAAAACTGGAAAACTGGAACTTCAATAGTTTATACGTAATACGACCTACTACAAAAGTGGGAGAATAATTTACTATTAAAATGTATTCAAATTAAAAAATATCAAGTAGCTTATATCAAAGAAAACTGGGAAGTATATTTGTAACTAAGGAAAAAGCATTTATTTCCGCATTATAACAACATTGAATAAATTTAGTATTATTTCCATAGTTATCGCAAAGAATGTAATTCGTGCTAGAAATTTTGTCAATAAACCTCAAATATAAAAATCATGAGCTATTGCGAAACTGACTGAATGAAAATGTGATAAAAAATAAAACCGAAATTCTACATAGATATGTTACACTTTTCTCATTTGAAATATATGGTTTTCGAAAGACATATATTCGGGTTACTGACGGTTCTAAGTCCAGGTAAAAGGAGGAGGGTTAGACATGGAGTCGGCAACCCCATCCTGTAGAAAATAACTTTGCTAAAATGCGCTAACAAGAATAAACATTCTAATCCATGTAAACTTCGACCTGGAGGTTGAAGTAAAATCATGATACCTCATGATGTAAGTCGAGATTCTTCAGAAGTCATGAGGGCGATGCCTCTTCTAACAACCAGAGAAACCATTAACATAGGTAGATGGAATGTTCGGAAAATGTAGGAAACCGGGAAGACCAATCAAATAGTTGAGAAAATGAGGAAATACTACTTGGTGGTTTTCGTAACCAGTGAAACTCATTGGATCCAGGTTAGATAGAAAAAGTTAGATTCGAATGCATACTTATAAACTCTGGTTACGAACAGGACAATGCTCCGGAGAGACCGATCATGGCAAAGGAGGAAAGCCAATCACCGAGATTCAAGAACGGAAGAACAGGTGGGTAGAATACTTCGAGGAACTCTTGAATAGACCAACTCAACTGAACCCACTGGACATCGAAGCAACACCTACGGACCTCCCTATTGATATCACTCCACCAATAATCGAAGAAATCAGGATGACCATCAGAAAAATCAAGAGTGGGATGGCAACAAGACCTAACAATATTTCAGCTGATGTAATGAAGTCAGACATAGAAATAACTGCGAACATGCTTCACACTCTATTCGGGAAAATTTGCGAGGAAGAACAAGTGCCGATGGCCTGGAAAGAAGGATACCTCATCAAGATACTTTAATGGCCTTGGATCTGACTCCAGTAATAACGTATGAATGATTGTTATTGATAATATACATAACGTCAATCCTCGTAGAATATTATCGACTTAACTCGGTCGTACACAGACCGAATCGCGACACTACGGATCGTCGTTGAACAATCACTTGAATGAAACTCTTCATTATACGTCAACTTCCTTGATTATGAGTAAGCATTTGACAATGTGGAGCCTTCTTCGACTCTATGATGTACCTGAGAAGATCGTCAATTTCATACGAAATTCATACAACGGATTACACTGCAAAGTCGTTCATGGAAGACATCTGACAGACAAATTCCATGTAAGGATCGGAATCAGACAAGGCTGTCTACCCTCATACTTTCTCTTTCTTTTAGTGGCTGACTGAATTATGAAAGCCTCGACATCTGAAGGGAAGCACAGAATACAATTGACAGGTTGTATGTGGCTAGATGATTTCGACTTCGCAGATGACCTGGCCCTTCTATCCCATAACACGAGCAAATGCATGTAAAGACAGCTATTGTAGCGGCAGTAAGCTTCAACATACACAAAACAAAAACCAAGATCCTCAAATACAACGCAAAGAACACTAACCCAATCATTCTTAGTGGGAAAGCTCTGGAAATTGTGGAAACTCACGTATCTGGATAGCATCATCGATGAACGTGGAGATCTGATGCAAACGTAAAGGCGAGGATTGGCAAAGCAACGAAAGCATTCCTGCAGTTGGAGAACATGCGGAACTCAAAACAACTGTCAATCAAGATCAAAGTCACAATCTTCAATACGACCGTCAAGACAGTCCTACTGTATGGATCTGAAATGTGGAGAACTACTACGACAATCATCAAAAAGATACAAGTATTTATAAACAGTTATCTATGCAAGATACTCAATATCGGTTGACCAGATACGACCAGCAACAGCCTACTGTGGGAGAGAACGGACCAGCTTCCAAATGAAGCGGAAATAACGAAAAGACGCTGGAGGTGGATAGGATATACGTTGCGGAAATCACCAAATTGCATCATGAGGCAAGCGCGAACTTGGGATTCTGAAGGGAAAAGTAAGAGCGGAAGACCAAAGAAAACACTGTACCAGGAGTCGGAAGCAGACGCGAATAGAGTGAATAGCAAATGGAAAGAATGGGAAAGGATTTCCCAGGACTGAGTTGGATAGAGAGTGCTGTTGAGCGGCCTATGCTCCGCCATGAGGGGTAACAGACGTAAGTAAGTATATTAAGAGATATACTCATCATATGTTAAAATTATCCCATAATACTTTGTTCAATAAATTACACTGTATTACGGAAAGGGTCAAGTGATCATACATCAAACACATTCAGTACCGTTTTGTTGTCAGTACTGTATGACTGTATCACATGTTGAGTAAATATACTTCTGTTTTAAAGATAACAAGGTGTGAGCTGACAAAACGTACAATATAATTTGGTAAATTAATATATACACTTTTCATCAAATTGGCTGAAAATAGTCTTTAATGGTAATTCTAATCTTAGTTTTAGATGTAGTACATTGCTGATAAAAACGGAGCATGCAACTCAACACAGAATGAAATTCGATTTCTCCAAACTGGAAAAGTTTGACCAGCCTTTTGAATACTGATGGGTTGTTCATACCATATTATCGGCTTTTTATTATGAGTGCTGAAATTCATAATCATATAGTAATTTTCTCCTTTTTAAATACAACAGGATTAAGGTATATTTTTCTGGTCACCGTATAACCTGTGGATGAATTATCTAATCTCACATGACATTTTCAAGATATTTAAAGCAATTAGTCCCTTTTATAAATTTCGATAAAACAATGAGAAGACGTAGTTGATCTGAAAAATGTGATGTATTTGCGCTATACATTTCGAACAATCTGATCACACATATACTTGTCAAGGCATTTTTATATGAAATTAATAAAGGTCAAACGAATAAAAGTACAATTAAAATAACTAAGGGGAGAGAAAGAATAAGAAATTGTCGTGTTATCCTAGGCCATAAAATGACTTAAGGATTACCAAGGTAAATTCAAGGTTACGACAAATTGTTTTTGTACACATAAGGGGGGTTTAAATTTACGAATAGCTAAGGCTTCAATAAACTTAAGAATTCGACCTTGACAATTTCTATACAACATTCTAAATGATGTATTAATGTCAATCTTGTGCCCCGTCTCAATTATGTGTTTTGCTATCGATGAACTTGGTTTTCTACCTCCTACATTGATCGGGTCATTTGACACACACTGATTTTGAAGCCATCTGGGCACATGTTCATTGACCCTTGATTGCATTGTTCGATTACTCCTCCCTATGTATGTGTGTCCACACAAACATGTAAATTGGTAAATACAATGGGATGTGACGTAATCATTAATACATTGTTTAGGTCTATTAGGAATCATGGCCTTAGACTTTTCAATCACAACCAACTGAGCAGCATAATACGTATTCTCAATGGCTGCTTTCAATCTCTGTCTTAAAACTATACTGTTTGATTCGCCTCTATACGGTAGATTGATGTAAACCTTTTTCTTTGGCACTGAATAAATTAGAGGTCTTGGCATTAACTGACTTTTGCACCTATTAATAAACTTGAGTGGATAACCATTAGCTATTAAAGTGTCAGTCAGTAACTTTTCGTCTTTTTCCACCATATCAGAGGTACATATTCTTCGTGTCCTCTTAATGAGGCACTTAACTAGACCTCTCTTGTATTGCAATGGACAGAAACTATGGAAATTTAAGTATAGTCCTGTCCAAGTTGGTTTCCTATACACGGACCGTCTAATAGTGCCATCATCCCTTCGACTTAAAAGTATGTCTAGAAAGGCTAATTGGCCATTACTTTCGGGTTCATGTGTCATCACAATATCATTTTGAACATCATTGAGTTTATCCAGTAATCGGTAAACATCAAAATCCTTATCACATATAATTAGAATATCGTCCATATATCTTCTATATAAAGTTGTCTCACCAATGAGGTCGCTCGTCATATTTTCCACATATGACATAAATACCTCAGCTAAGAGAGGCCCTAAAGGGCTACCCATAGCTACACCATCAACTTGTCGAAAATAATCACCATCAAACGTAAATTGAACATTAGCTGTACATAATAAAAGTAATTCTTTCAAAAAAGGTAACGGAATAGGAAAAAGAGGAAAGTTTTTTGAAATATAGTCACAAAGGAAATCCACCGTCTTTGTTAACGGTACATTCGTGAAGAGGGAGTTTACATCAAATGAATGCAAAGATTTATCTTTAATATTAATGTCACCAAGAATATCAATTAGTTCAAATGTATCTTTTAAAGAGAACTTACATAGATTAGTACGAATTGGGTTTAACAGTTTTACTAACCATTTAGCTAGCTCGTGTGTGGGGGAACCACGCATAGACAAAATTGGTCGTAATGGAATATTAGGTTTATGAATTTTAGGTAATCCATATAAATTCGGGAGAACTGAACCCGAAGGTTTTAGTATATTAAACTCCTCGTTGTTTATGACGTTCATTTTAAGAAGCTTTAAGAGATTGGACTTCACTCTGGATTCCAATTTTTTAACATTAATATTAGAAGAAACGTCCTGTAAGAATTTACTTCGATCAGCCAGTATAGATAACATTTTGTCTTTATATTCACATTTATTGATAATGACCACCCCAGAACCTTTGTCAGGTCTGAGGATCACAATATCTGACCTACTTTGGAGATTTTTTAACGCAGCGTAGTGTTTAGGAGTCAAAATACTCCTTTGTCTGACTTGAGATCCGTGAAAGTGGTGGGCAACGTCAACCAATTTCGCCTTTAACCAATTTTTCCTATCCAGAGTGGTTGGAACAAGCGGGTTCAACTGATCATAAAGATTTTCAAATTGAGCATCTATCGACAGATTAGAAATTTTGGTATGTGCAACGGAAAAATTAAATCCGAGTGATAGAGCTTCTTTCTCGAATACTGTAAGCCTAACGGTTGATAAATTTGATACATATTTATCCGGGTTAAATTGAAATAAATTTCCATCATTATCATACATAAGGGTCAATGAACATGTGCCCAGATGGCTTCAAAATCAGTGTGTGTCAAATGACCCGATCAATGTAGGAGGTAGAAAACCAAGTTCATCGATAGCAAAACACATAATTGAGACGGGGCACAAGATTGACATTAATACATCATTTAGAATGTTGTATAGAAATTGTCAAGGTCGAATTCTTAAGTTTATTGAAGCCTTAGCTATTCGTAAATTTAAACCCCCCTTATGTGTACAAAAACAATTTGTCGTAACCTTGAATTTACCTTGGTAATCCTTAAGTCATTTTATGGCCTAGGATAACACGACAATTTCTTATTCTTTCTCTCCCCTTAGTTATTTTAATTGTACTTTTATTCGTTTGACCTTTATTAATTTCATATAAAAATGCCTTGACAAGTATATGTGTGATCAGATTGTTCGAAATGTATAGCGCAAATACATCACATTTTTCAGATCAACTACGTCTTCTCATTGTTTTATCGAAATTTTCAAGATAATCATAACCTACTTATAAGTAGCTAATCAAAAAATCCAAAACATTTGTTGTAACATTGTTAGTTTCTACTGTATGCTCATCAACAGATAGAAAATCGGATAAGCATTATGTTCATATATTGACGAAAACGGTAAATTATAAAATCTTGAGCTTTATGTCTTATTAACAATATGCTGAGCACAACACAGTAAAAAAACAAAAGTAATTTTGATTATCAACTAAAGAAGTTTATAACCTAGGACAATAATGGTATAAATTCATACAAAAAATCTTTGATATTTCTGGAACATGACTTATGAATGTTCTACACAATACCTAGAATAATAAACCTTTATTTTGTATTTCAGAGCGGAAATCTTAAAAACAAAAGATTCTATAGACGATTGGAAGATGATCATGATAACTCTTTGAACTTAAACTGTTGTTACTAAACGTTTTGAGGGGAAACAAAGCTTTGCTTGTTACCATAAAAAGGATTAAATTTTTTCATATAGATAATAGGTTCTAAACCATAGTCAAAATATCTAGCTTATTCTTTTGAGTGTCTTCTATTTAAGTAAGATAATGCAAGCCCTTGACTTAAACTACTAGTCTCGTATCAAATATGATAAATTCATTTTTGATTATTAAGAGATCATACTTACATTCCTGTCTGACCATACAACTCTGAATCCCTAACTTATGTTGAATTAGTTTTCATCCAAGCAGAAGAAGAAATCAGAGAGAAGCGCTGGAAGTGAATAGGACACAAATCAAGGAAAGTACCCAACTGCATCACAAGGCAAGCCCTCACATGGAATTCTCAAAACCAAAGGAAAAGAGGAAGACCAAAGAACACATTAGGCTGAGAAATGGAGAGAGACATGAAAAGAATAAATAAAAATAGGACAGAACTAGAAAGAGAGGCTCAGGACAGAGTGGATTTGAAAATGCTGGTCTATGACGGCCTATTCTCCACTGGAAATAACAGGAGTAAGTAAGTATAAGTAACATATAGTTGAAACGCAGATTGTTCTCATAGACTAAGACAGTATATTTGTAATGAACAAGAACACGGGTGGGGACAACTACAGACTATCTCAACAAAATCTGAATACCATATAGTAAATCGACAATTTACAAAATATTCATACATCAAATCAAATCGGACTGTTTCTGTTGCAAACACCAATCCATTGTCTCCCATTCCATTGTTCATGCGTTTTCTTACAAAGTCTATTGTGTTCTCGCTATACCGTTCTTGATCTTCGCCATCTTCTGCTGCCAGACATTACGTTCTTTTAACGCACGTTATATACTACTTATATCAATATAAGTAGCTCACACTACATATTTACTATCTGAATGGTAGATCACATTTGAATACACCAGTAAATTAATTAATGACTATAAATCTACATCATATTCCTTAAAATTAATTTATCATCATTTGCTGAGTAAATGAGTAAAGATGTATGATGTCTTATATGACTGAATACTGTTTTCTTTCTTTTTAAAATAAACAGAATACTTCACAATTTAGGTCAATTAGTGAATAAATCATTGATGAACTTAAACATGTTTAATGATACTTTCAGTATTAAAGTGTTACTAACAAATTAGCAAAATAGAGTTAACATGGTTTTATTTGGATTAGTTGATTACAACTGGAACGACTTCTTAATAAAAAACGTTTTGTAAAAGATTTGTCCTCAATAATTTAAATAAATAATTAATTTACGGAGAAAAAAATAAGACACACTTTTGAGATGATGAAGAAGATTTGGATGCTTTTGATAGAGTTTTGTTCTGTGAGCTAGATGGTTTGGTCATGAGACTTTTATCGTTCTTCTGAACGACATCATCAGCCCAAACTTCAGGTAGAAGCGTTGTTTCAGGGTAATTGGACTGAATGTTAAAATATCAATAGCCGTGCTGGAATCACACATAAAACATTAAATAAGTTTCCATTTTGAGCTGATAACCGATAAAGAACCGCTTAGTCCAGAAAGCATTGGACAAATGTTTCGTTCTAATACAACACCATTAAATATAACTCATTTCCTAATCTGTACAGAATCAGTTACCACAAAGTTCATGGTTTAATTCAACAATCGGGTCATAATCTAAGCTCGTAAATTTTCTAACTATAGTCGAGTAACTTTAAGCTATCCTTTTAGGGAACTTAGTTAACTATTCTTCAAGTTGTTTATAAGACGTAGACACAAATGAAAATCTTATGCTAGTTTATTTATTTAATATGAGCTACGTTACTAATGGCCTTGTGTAAACACCAACAAATAGGCCTCTATGGAATTCAAACGTTGGTTAGTTATGTGAAAACCACCGTTTGTTAGTCTATAGATTTTTCATACTCCATATACCTCTCTTGATGAATATTTCTGCTTTCCAAAGTGTATTCTTCATAGCTTTAACATCCCACTTTTACATTGATGTAATGAATGTGAATAAAAATACTCGACACGTTTTACATTGTTTGACAAATAAAATTCGGTTTTCTAAAGTAATCTATCCACTGGTACTAATCATCAATGTTAACGATTCTATTTGAATATTGATCTATTTATACATCATACATGCTCACCTATAATTAATTTTCTAATGAAATCTCCTAAATCAACAGTCAAAGTTTAATGGAGTTGTCACTTACTAATAGGACTAATGTTATTATTCCAAATTTTTTTATATATGCTTAATACAAAACAATTACATACTAATCACTAACCTTTTAAGGAATGTTATGTAATCATTGTGTTTTTGTAAATGATCTCTCATTAATATAGTTTGAAATGATGTTCTATCAATTGCCCAAAGTGTTCCATTTGTTATAGCTGGAAATAATAATAGACATTTTTTTTTAAATTATAAGTTCTAGATAGCCGATTATTTAGAAAAATATAATAGTGATTGTTTTCATATCAATTCTATGAATATTTTGTCGTATATATTCACTGTCAGTAATTTGTAGTGTTTGTTATCATTGAAATATAATATTTTACAGTTGTATTGTTCAATGTTTTATTTGATACTAAAAAATTATGTTTCTGAAATTTCAGAACTATAGAACATTCCAAATCCACTTGTTATGGTTTACTGGAATCTACCTAATGATGTTTAGGACTGCAATTGATCAGTCTCTGATTGACAAACATGTGGCTGTCAGTAATCAGTAGCTAAATGAATAACGCAATGGTGTTTGAAGCGAACGGTACTGGGTTCGAGTCCCACAGAGAACATCAACTCAGATGCAGGCATGTCCAGCCGACGAGTCTCAAATAGAACGAAATGCGCGTCCTGGACTCCACTGCTAACCACCATCCATCCTTGCTTATAAAGCAGTTTTCCTGAGAAAAGCTATATCGATAGCTACAAATTAGCTATATTGCTTCAATATATAAATGATTTGAATGCTTATCTGGCTATAATATCATTTTGATTGCATCATAGTATTCATGAAAGTATCTTATATTTTTTTTTAATTACAAAGAATTATTCAGTAATTCTACATAATCATACTAGAAAAATTATTCATTAATATTATTATTAGTAATATTAATGAATATAAAATGGGTCTAGGTCATTGACTTTTCTAGGAAACAGTTCATTTGCATGAAACAAAAAAAAATAAATAAATAAATAAAGGAGAAATGATTAAATGAAACTATGCACTCGAAATGCTTTATTGCATGCATATATGTTGAGATTATGCTTTTTATACAAAAATTGTGTGTTGCTACGGTATCGAAATTCTTCTATTTGAACTTATGATTAACAGTTTTTGGTAAGATCTGTTTTTCTAACAATCAGAATATATACATATCTACTGGTTATTTTCCTCATAGTTCGCAATATTTATTGAGTAATATTCAAAGTGATAGGGTGTTGGTTTACTATGTTCATGTTTATTGAGACTAAATAAAGTGATGTATGGAAATTTTTAGAACAATCAGTTAACACTACTTTTATTAAAAGTAAGATCAAAAAAACGTTTCATGGACATGTAAAATGTGGTTTTGTAAATGCGAAAAAAACAATTTGAATAGTAAATTTATAACTCTATATTACATCGTTTCCTATTAAGAAATAATCAGTCGAAATAACATTGAAAACTACAAACAAATTTGGTAAATATAGGCAAAGATGGATAGCGGTTAGTGGTAGAATCCAGGACTCGGGTTTCGTCCTATTCGGGACTAGTCAGCTGGATTTACATACATCTCAGAGTTGATATTCACTGTCGGACTTAAACCCAGTAGCGTTAGCTACACAGAAATTATAGTACAAAAAATATTAATCTGATTAGCGGTCAGTTATTGAATGTTATTTTGAAATTTCAAACTGTTTGTTAGAATAATAATGAATGACTAATGACATCGTTTAGAGAAAATAGATAAAATGATAACTAAAAGTTTAAACAGTTTTACATAGTGGATGAGTTGACAAATTACATAATACTTAGTGGAAGAATTAAGAAATCATGGTATATGATCTTATATTAACAATAGTTATGTACAAAGAAAGACGAGTAAAATTCGAAACAGGAGAATAATAAACCATTCCTCAGTCATTTTCATAGATTCACCGTAGTTTCGAATGAGGATGAGATAAGTGATAGAGGTTTTCTTGTGAAAATAATGATTCTGTTCAGTAAGATATCTGGAGATGAAATATGAAGTAAACGTATACGAAAATCACGTGTCAAACAAGATTTATTTTAATTTAACCATTCTATCAAGTACAGTTCTAATAATCATCTTTGAATCATGTATTTTGCGTAAGGATTATCACTATGGCCTTGTTAAATTAAATGGAACGGGATTCAAAGGTTTCGCCCAGTGGTTGAAATCTTGAAGCTTTAGCTAATAAACCATCGTTCAAATATGCTGTAAAGCAGACTAAATATGACAGATCACTTGAAATGCTTTATCCATGCACACTTAATGTTCTATGCCTATCAACTTAGTGATTGTATAACTCTCAATTGGTTGCAATAATGCTTTTCTTAAACGTGGTTAATAGTATGAAACAGCTCTTCGTCAACTGAGTAATGCAGGTTTTATTATAATATATAGAATCACTAAAACGTAAATGAAAGAATGCATTTTCTTGCTAAATTTCCATTTTATTATAGTCTGTGCTTGTTCCAAAGCCGACATTACAATCAATAATAACATGATTGAAACAGGAATTTTGATGGCTATACGTTTACTTTCTTTGTAAAGAATAATATTTTTTTCAACTTTCAGAAAGAAGCAGGGTATGAGAATTCCTCCAAAGACAGCTAACAGTTTGTTTCGTTGATCAAGAATTCGACCGGTTATCATCAATACACGTTTCGTCACTGATCATTATCTATTTTGATTAGTTTTTCACGAAATCTGATATCTAACCTTTAAGGGTTTTATCAAATCTATTATTAGCATATAATTTAGAGTTTATATGAGAAAGCTGAATGTTTTAATTTTAAAAACACTGCCTAGATTTCCTGAGGTTACTTGTTTTTCAATATTTCAGCATATAAGAAAAACCGTGGATTGATATCAGTAAATGTATTTCGCAACTTTTGATATATTTATGTAGTGTCAGTCACAGCTATTGTTTAGGTATTAACGTTACTACCAATTAATTATGTATCTAACTAGTAATAAATGAAACCTAAAAGGTTACTCTATTGATTTACAGGAGTATCTCATAAAATAACTCAATACTAACACACATAATTCAAATTATTATCATTCAGATAACTGATTAGAGGCTACAATTAAATAAGAAGGATTTTTATTTTCATTATGTGATTAAAGATTAATATACATATCATTTTAGTGAATTTATCCTGTTGAAGAAAATGTTTTTATTATTGAATTCATCATACTTTATTAATATAGTATAGTTCCATACTGAGACGAAACGGTCATCCAATGCTTCCAGGTTTTCCATGATGATCTAGTTTCAATTGATTCATGACAACAACTATTAAAACTATTATAACATCTATAAAACCCCTCTGTGTTTATAATTATTTTATTATTCTGGTCAAAATAAAAGTTAATGTACTTTTAACTAATAATATTATTAATAATAATAATAATAAAATGTTGATTTTTAAAGATCCCCGTCATAATAAAAGACTAATATTTGAACGAAGAATATTCTTTTCGATAAATTCTCTTCAGATTCTACAATTCATATATCCAAATTAATAATCCGAAAAATGGCCAGGTTAAGGGCAAAGTACATCGTTCAAAGCATGTGAATTTAGGATTGTGATGAACAAAATACAATAAAATTGTTAATATTGATATGACTAATATCATAATGTTAACTTGAATCTGCGTATATGTGAAGTGAAATTTTAAGATCCATGATCAGAATAAATATGGATGAAATTGGGTGAGAGAGAAATGATAGTGCAATTGCAATTCGATCAAACAATTAAGAAGTAATAAGGAGGGATGAATGCGAAGTGAATGAATCGTGTATAAGGGAGATTAATAAGGATGTTCAACCAATAGTAATAATAATAATAATAATAATAATAATAATAATACAAAGGTTTATGAATAAAGATAACAGGGACAATTGCTAGTATAGGGGTTGTGGAGATTAGTACGTTTTTGATTGAGATCATGAACCGATTGATGTTAGGCTACCACCCTATATTAGTAATCAACATGTGCTCACTAGTGACTAGCTTCGTGATGGAATTCTCGGAGTTTTAGTGAGAAGCCCTGATCAGTGGAGCTAATCCATGTCGGGTAGAGACAGGTATCTACCTCAGTACAATGGAAGTTGGTCGAGCAGTTTCGTGAATTGGTTAAGGTTAGACACTATCACCATTGGATGCCGGCTCAATGGTCCAGTTCGTTAAGCGTTGGCGCGCGAAACAGAAGGCCCTGGGTTCGAATCCCACGAGCGGGATCGTGGATGTGCACTGCTGAGGAGTCTCACAGTAGGACGAAACGGCCATCCAGTGCTTCCAGGTTTCTAAAGGTGGTCTAACATCAATCGGTTAATGATCTCAATCAGAGACGATAACAATTGACTACGAAAGGTCATAGTCAAGCCAGGTTATTCAATAGTTAGAATTACGATTGATTAATTAATCTTGATGTACTTTATCCTAAACCTGGCCATTTTTCTGATTATTAATTTGGATATATAACTGTAGAACCTGAAGAGAATTTATCGAAAAGAATATTCTTCTATGAAATGTTAATTTACCAATTTGTTATCATATTCGTTTAATGCATAACAAATAATCCTGTTCTTATAATTAATGAACATGTCATTAACACCAATTTCATTCATATGGACATCTTACAGACCAGAGTCATTTATTACTATTAACGCATGTTGAAGTTATGTCTGAATACGTTTGAGTATAAACAGAACAATTTGTTTATCATATAAATGGAAATATCACTTTTAGGCACATTGAATATACATATATATAGATGATACTATATATTACTATATATAATATTATAATTACAATTCATTTGTAGTATGAATATAAAACTGGATTACCATACTAGGAAAACATGTCATGTATATTTATATATACATATACATATACATAAATATAACAATAAGAGTAACATATTTTATACACATTCAAATACAATAAATGATGACAAGTACTGTAATATCAAGGGCAACATATTTAATTTAATCTTATAATAAATAATAAAATGGGATTTAAGGAAAGTTAAATTACATTCATGAGACTAAGGATTAAGGAATTTCATCATTGAACATAACTTTTATTTAGTTCGGTTACACTTTATTACATAGATGAAGGATGTATAATGTTGTTTTCTTTTAGAAAAATGACATGTTTCAATGAATAGACTTGTTATGTCCTGATGAAACTAATGAATGGTAATTTTTGGGATCCATTTATGGACCAATATTATGTGTATATATTTATCGTAAAATTGTTAAATAACTGAACTGTTCATATACGTGTACCTCTTATTATAAGCTTTATTTTAACTTGTGAACTATTATTATACGATTTAACATTCTTGAATTATGCCCTGTCTATTAATTACTACCTCCCACACTCACAGCAACATTTGGCTTAAACTTGTACAAATGTTATTTTCTATTTTACTGGTACGATGTGGTTTGTCTGGTTGGTATATAAGCTCAGTGTGTTTGAAATAAATGATTCATATCTCAAAGGCTGAGATTGGTGTTCTGGATTTAACAGGCTGGGTTAAGCAGGCAGCAGGACCGATAAGTACTCTAGATTGCTCGCACGGGTTTTATGCGTCATTGGTCCGATCGATAATTCACTGCTCTCTAATTGAAAGTATCACTGCGTTATACATTAACAAGGCACACAGGCCACAAGTGATAACAAAACTAAAAATAATAATCACTGAGTTGTAAAACACTTCCTGATCCATAATTGTTTTGTTTTTCCTCTTAAGAATAATATATCAAATAAGAAGAAACATCTAGAAACTTTGCAAGAGTAATAATAATAATTTCTGGTTTGTAAACTACATAAACCTTGTTGATTTAAGAAATCTGGTTGTAATTTCTTAGGTCATTGATACATTGTAGAATACTGTGTTTATGAATACTATATATGAGTATTTGCTTAGTTTTAAGTCTGATAAACACATTTTGATAAAGTTGATTGATTAAACATCCTTCTATATAATGATTACAATGTATTTTTCTTTATTTATCCGTGTGTTAGATGTATTACAGTACTGGTTTATGCTAAATCCAGTTTTACTGTTTATCCTGTATTGATTTTGATGATTAGTGCATAAAGGCAAGGTAACTTGTTCTGATGTTAATTCTGCAACATCAATGACGTTGCTAATTAAAATCATAGTCAGTTTTTGGGCTAATTTCTTTAGTACTCAAGAATATATCACTGACTTAGAAGGTTCAAAATGTTTTCTCGTTTAATTTTAGGACCAGAACTTATTTTTAAAATAATTCTTTAGAATATGAGAGATCAAATTAGGGTATCCGTCAATCGTTGATATATTTTATTTAGTTAGGAGGATTTTGTTCAGGACTAATTCATGAGTTAACATTAAAATATAACATTGAAGCTTGAGATGTCTTTATGAGAAGAGAGGATATGGTGTCTTTCACAAATTTTTATTTAGTTGAGATATAAAGCCGCAGTGTTTGTCTGTGCGAATCTGAATCTCCTACATGTTGATGGTGTAATCCTGAAAGTTGATGAGTTATGCACAATCGACCCAATAGTCCAGAGAAAGGAAGCTCACCATTATCATCCTCCAGATAGAAAATCTTTGTCACTATTTTAAAGCTATTAGAGCACAAATTATTCGTAAATTATTTAAGATTTGAGTTATATAACAGTCAAAAACGACTCGAAGGTCGTTATTCAAGTGTTAATATCTCTGGTTCAACGAGTAGGATTCATTTTTTAATTGAGATCATGAACCGATTGATGTTAGACCACCTTTATAAACCTGGAAGCACTGGATGGCCGTTTCGTCCTACTGTGAGACTCCTCAGCAGTGCGCGAACGCTTAACCAACTGGACCATTGAGCCGGCATCCAGTGGTGATAGTGTCTAACCTCAACCAACTCACGAAACTGCTCGACCAACTTCCATTGTACTGAGGTAGATACATGTCTTTACCCGACATTGATTATCTACACTGATCACAGATTCGAATAGTCTGGGTTTCTAATTCCAATTAACGACTTAACCGTCATTAAATTCACACAACGTTGTTTGTTACAACTTCATACTAGAAATTTAGGACATAAATATAATCTTATTTACTTGTGAACTCAATATTGTGCAAATAACTGAGTTGTTTTAACGTAGGGTGTGACAGCATTCCACTCATTTTTAGTTTCTATTGATCGAACAGATGCAGTTAGTTCATCACAAAAAGTTTTTTTTGTAAAATAAAAATATTCATTCAACAGTAAAACAAGAATGTCTAAGATTCTTCGAAAAATGTAAATATGATGAAATTATAGGTAAGGTTAATATCTTCAGTAAAATTAAAACAACATACTTACCCTTAACACTGGCAGTTCGAGTGCAATTGTATAAAACAGCTAATTCCCCTAGTACTGTCGGATGATCTAGCACTCTTAATTTTCGACCATCTTTGGAAATTTCTAGTTGTCCCTCTGAGAATTTAAAATGAAAAATTTACAACAAAATGACTAATAAATGAACACAAAATATGGTTGTGACACAACAGACACAATTTTCAAATAAGATCACGTCCAGTGAACAAAAAATATTAAAGTACTCAGTGAAAAAGTTTATCTGTGTCTTCAAATATATAATCAGTTTTTTTAAACTTATAGCCGTGGTAACAAAATGTATCTAAACCTTAAGGCTTTGATGAACACACTTTTCACCAAGAAATGAGACCAAATGGAGAATTATTGGAAATCTGACAGTGGTTTCAAATCATTTCGTAACCATTGAGATCAGGGCAATCATGCATACACAAAATGTCGTTATGTCGGTCTATGACTCGAGTAGTTTGAAATGATAATTATTGATTATATATAACAGTAGTTGAATTACATTTTGTTTAACTTAAAATATGTGTAGTCATTGAATTTCACAAGCAACGAATTCTAAATAAGACGATACACTTTATGCTTCTTGTTAAGTTCTTTAGTTATTGTCAGTTTCTCTTCAGATTTATTCTCACATTGTTCGAAGCTTCCATAAGTGGTCTATCGTAATTCACGCTTTTCGGCTTTTTTAATGCTTAATTTTTTAAGAAAATACACGTAAAGGTACCTCCATAAATTTATCTGTTCATTTATTGAATAAAACTATTGATCCTAAGAAACATTAAAGGAGATGTAATAACTAGTGAAGGTACATCCAGCCGACGAGTCTCAAATAGGACGAAACGCGCGTCCTGGACTCCACTGCTAACCACCATTCATCCTTGCTTAAAAAGCAGTCTTCCTGAGAAAAGCTATATCGATAGCTACAAATTGGCTATATTGCTTCAATATATAAATGATTTGAATGCTTATCTGGCTATAATATCATTTTGATTGCATCATAGTATTCATGAAAGTATCATATATTTTTTAATTACAAAGAGTTGTACCATCGGCAATTGTCTTAAAACTGCTATGGTACGATTCTTTGTAAAGGGAAGATGCACCATATAAATTGGCATCTCTTGTTGATGTAAGATAAGTTGAAGAGTACTAATCAGCTAGGGATTAGAACTAATATCGGTTGACATCTTTTTCCATTTTTATTAGAAAACAAGTTATGTATAAAAAATATTATCCTAAGAAACATTAAAAGAGATATACTAACTAATGAAACATTTTCCTGTCCATCACATCACCAAGACTTATAACAAAATTGAAGGTAAGATATCAACAATTAAGAAGTATGAATTCGTTCATCGGACAAAAATCCAGCGATCTGCATTTCCAATTTAGTTGATGATCAACTATACGTCAAAAAATCTCTATAATTTTACATCATATTTTAGTTCCTACTGATAATTGACTTTACTTCTTATTTTCAACGTTTTAATTTGAAAATAAGACACTTGAAGCTTAAATATACTGGAATATCATTTTGAAATTATGTAAACAAGATCAATCCCGAAAGGCAAGTGTGTAGACAAACATTGACACATACTTTCTGAAAATACTTTACTGATGTATAACATTAATTTTTTGTTATGGGTTTCAATCTTATATTGTATGTCAACTTTGTTGTGAATGACAGATCACTGGTAAGTCAATTGCACTAAATGAAAATTAGCCAAATACAAAAGGTATCCAATATATAAGAAATAATCTAGTTCTTCAATCTGCACATTGTCAGCTTCCTGAAGTAAATTAAACCAGTATTAAATAGCATACAGTATTCATTTATCTTTTCAAACTGTTGTTCATTTCTATACAACAAAACTATACTTCTATACGAAACAAGATATTTTATGTACAATATATAGTTTGATTTCATTCAATTGTTGATAGTGACCTTTTGAATGTACCTCTATTCACTGATTATTCCATATTTAGTTTTAAGGGCAAATAAGAAAAGAACACTTTGATGTTAAATATAAATTACTATACCCTATTAAAATATCTCTGTATGTATTACGTAGTTTAACAGCATAACAACAGAATACTTCATGTTTATAAAAATTGGAAGAAGAACAACCAGATTAAAGTGTAATATAAAATTTTCTTCAGGTCATGAAATAAAAGATTAGTATACTTTTCTTATAATAAACATCAGTCAATCAAATAGAATACTACTAATTCTTTATATGAATCTTAATTACTATATACATGCGTCTATCTTTCATAAACTGAAATCGATTGAAAGACGAGAGAACATGAATGTCTTACCAATAAACATTTTTGTTTGACTAAAAAGCTGTAAAGTACTGCTGTAACATTAGGTTTTTGTGTAAAATATGTTTAGAGAAATCTAGTCATTGATAAAAGCCTAATCAAAAAATACACTACCGTTTTCGGCTATCAATACTCATCGTATTCCATTGGTTGCAAGATGATGTTATCGACCAGTGAAGTTCATGACTAGATCTTCAGAGCTTTTGGTTACGGAAACGAGAAAATCATAAGGTTTTACTAGTATTTTAATGTACATGGTGAATAAATTTTTATCGAGATGAACACCTTTGATAGTTTGATTGCAATTATAAATGGTTTGGAGTATTTGATGTTCACCATACAGTAATATTAACAAGAGAATGAACAGTTAGCAAAGTAATTGCTACAACCTAATGATCAAATTGTGTGCAAACAAATCATTTATACAGAATACTGATCGCACCTTGCAAAGCTGATTTAAAAGGTTTTTGACGATAGCTCGTATCTGACAAAGAGTATATGTTCTCCTTTTATTGTCTTAATGGTGACGATCAAGCTGTATGAAATTCATTATTAAAACTTGGAGAAAAGTGGACGTAAAGTTCAGGAACATCATCGGCATTTAAATGAAAAATAAAAACGTAAAAGCCACTAAAATCTTCTGTGAACCCGATTTCTGTATATGTAATAAAATGCCCTTCTTCGAAAGGTTTCTATTTACATGTACGAAATTAAAAAGTGGAGTATTTTTGACATCCTGATCGTGGATCTTAACGATTGTAGCTAGTAGGATGCCGCTACTTCAAAATACTTGACAACAATCAATGGGAAAAGATCTATAAAGCGAACGCGTTTTCTAATGTAGTAATATCAAAAGATATGTCGGTGTTGTGTCTCCCTGTAGACCACAGCTTTCAACAGTTACTTGTAGAACGATTTATTTTATACTCTCAATTAGAAGTCAGTTTTTTGTGATGGTAGAGAAGATTTGTGGCTCAGGTGGATTAGTTTGATGGAGTTTTGTTCTCTGAGATGGATGGTTTGGTCGTGGATTTTTCATCGTTCATCTGAACGACATCCACATAAACTTCAGGTAGAAAAGACGTATTCGAATTTCTGCACATATGGCTCACAGCTTGTCCTGTAGACTTCGATGTTGATTGGTTCTTGCTGACCTTAAACTTGTCATCGTTTACTTCTTTGTGTTGATTGTATCTCCCATTGGTTTGATTTTTGGTCCCATGTTTGTCCATATTTTTTCTGATCGGTTGATAAATTGGGTTGATTTCAATATGCTCATTGATTGCTGATTGACCTGAGTGCCAATCTTCTAAAAATTCTATGGTGTTTTTAGAATCGCCTCTACCCAAGATCTATAAATTATTCCAGTCGAATGTGTGTTCACAGTTGTCCACATGCATTGATATAAGTAATTCATGGCATTTTACCAATACTCGGTGTTCATGCAGGGGAAGATGAAGAGAGTATCCGCTTTGTCCTATGTAGTGTTTTTAGCAATTGGTACAATGACAAAAAAAAGAAAAGCCGAACATCATCTACAAAATAAACTGTTCCGCATAAATTATTTAATTTGTATGAGGGCTGAGATACTGCCTACTTGCCTAAATCAAAGTAGGTGGTTTTCTTAGGGAGCCACACTTCGAGCCTTTGACCTAAAGGTTTAATCCAAACTTGAACTTATCAGTGAATAATTTTACTTTTTTTGGGTGGGTGGGAATATAATCAATTGAAGAGATTGTTCAAAATAAATGAATGCATATTATTTGATTACGAATGATGCCATTGATTAATGAAAGTTTACAAGATAGAAAAACTTCATCAAATCTACTGTAAATTATATCTATTCACCTTATAGTTAAAATTAAAGGAAACCCCCCCACCTTTAAATTCCTAATGAAATTTTAATGGTTTTAAAGATTCCTTCATTCAGTTAGAATATTGATTTATAGTTTCTAAGTAATCTATTTATAAATAATAAAAAAGAATAAACATTTAAATTGATGTTTTTTCTATTAAACAACTTTCTCTTCCTAGTGTATTCACATTTGTGTTATGATAAAATGAAGAAAGAAAAAAAACACAAAAACCTTTTTACCATGTAAAATCTGTTGCTTTAATATAAATTACAAATGATTTTATTGTTGGTGCTGTTGTTGTTGTTGATGATGTTTAAAGGCTATTTATTCTTGAATGAATTTTAGATATATTTCATTTATGTAATTCATTGAATAGTCATGTGTTTTATAATTATGGGAATATATATATATAATACAAAAAGTAGATAAATGATTTAACATTTTGTTATAATTGATAGTGAAATCATTTAACTTGATTATATCTTTACGTTCACTAGTAATCATCTTTATAATGGAGTTCGGATGAGGCTATAAACTATACAGTCGAAACCTTCATTGAAGAATGAATTATGTAAGAATTGATCTATATCATAATTTATCTAAATTAGTGGATTATAGGCATTTTAAAAATTATTGAACTTAACAGTCCATGTTATCTTCTTGTGTGAAGTTTTAAAATAGGACAATAATAATTATTGGAAATTTCAGAGCTAACCGTAGGATAACAGAATGTAAAGAAAATGTACTTCGAAATAAGTAGATCTTCACTTAAGCTACATATATTAGATTAATTATATTATGGTGTTTTATCCTAACTACTTGACAGTATTCGAATCTAATGAAATATTATTGATATGGATGAAATCCATCAGTGTATCGAATAATCCATAAAATAGTAATCTAATGTTTTATAAAACTTGTTTAATTAATTAACTGATGATTATTTTCCAAATAACCTGTTGAATAATATTAAAAACAAGTATGTTAATGTTGACAGGATAAATTGAATTATTCACCACGGATTGTGTGCATATAATTATAGGTTAATTCGTTTCTTCAAATATAAACCATCTATAATGAGTGCCAATTTTTAATTTTATTTCCCTGATGCATTTCAAAAAAGAAATGACAAGAAAATTCTTTGAACCACTTAATATTGGTCATAGATTTCAACAAATACAATTTATATTGAATATCATTAGTACGCAGACCCATTGATTTCCGCTAAAATTATTTAAATCTGAACTAAAGTTTTAGAAAAATCCAAATAGTTTATTCATGTTGCCGACAGATAGCGTTTCTTCAAGTAACTGTCTTTTTTCCATTAATTAGGGAATAATGTTTTGTATTTAAATGTCTAGGTGAAATAAGTAGTTATTTGAGTAGTAATTTTTCATTTCTACTCTTTATTCATTTTAAAATTACATCAACTAAAGACTCATGAGATACTTCGATATACTGAGATATTGTTTCACTTTAATTTGAGACACATTGTCGGTTCTCAATTTGATGGAGAAACATGAATTCAACTTCGTGATTCAAAGGTATTGTGATAGCCTATGTTTTGGTCACATTGGAATTAAAAGATGCACACTTCTGATGATTTATAAACAAAGTTCAAACAGATTTCTGTTGCTCATTGATTTACAATTATTATGTATTTATATAAGTTCACAAATAATTCTTTGCTGAGATAGTATAATACTGTAAATCTATTTGTATGTAACAGTACCAAGGTTTGACTTGATAATTTCGAATAAATTTAGCATTCAATAGATTTTTATAAATAAAAAGGATGTATTTGTAATATCCCAATGAATAGAAAAATTAGATTTTCCGACGTTTCGTGACTCAATGTAAGTCATTTCTTCAGAGAATAAATAACCAAATCAAAAATACTCCAAGTTTAAAACGTCAGAAACGTCAGAACATTTAAGAAGAATTTGTTTTCTACTCACTGGGTTATTACAAATATATTTTTGCACTTACTGTGAATCTATTGTTTAGCAAACTAATGACAGTGAAATTGCTTAGCAAAAAAAATTAGGAAGAAGGAAGAGGAAAGACATATATGTTCGTTGTTAAGCCAATGTATAAAAACTACCTTAATAAAATTGATTTAATGATAGCATCACACTATTTAACTTCTCTTGTCTCAGAATATTATTTTCTAGATTATCAACAGCCATATAGGTGCTCATTTTATTTAGAATATCAATAAATTGTATGTTATACCATACTGACCGATAAATGACCATTTTTAATGAAGCTCTCATATTGAGTGAATCATTATATTTGTTCTAAGCTATTAACTATATGAGTAGGTCAAATCTTAAGTATTGTATTTAATTAATCTATCTTTAAAGTAAATGCCCGCTGAAATAAAGGTCAACGAAATAAAAAGCTGTTAACACTATAGTCATTCGTATTGTTTACAACTTAACCTACAATATCTATAGAGGTTAATTTTCACTGAACAGTATAACAATATACTGCTTAATATATATATATAGCAAATATAACATTATTATACAAATGACAAGTATATTACATAAAAACAAGTTTAACATACCGCCTAATACATACACTAACGAGCCATAATCGCCTTCAGTAATGATCATTTCATCCGCAGTAAACTCTATGCTGTACATGCAATCGACTAACTGATTCAATTGACTTGATGCGATATGATTCATGAAGTCATTTTCCAGAACAGCACCTTTTATTAGTTTACGAACACTGTAGAAAAACAAACGAATTTAAAACAAACAATACAACTACTTTAACTCCGGTTGTCAAAAATTCAACAAACATATTTAATTCATTTACTGAAGTCGGTTTTCAGATTGATTTATTATGAAGACAGTTTTCGTTACAGACTGACATTCATTGTAGAACCACTGAAAACTACAAAACACTGGTTAGCTTCTTTTTTTCATAAAGACCGATTATCAAAAGAACGTATTCAAAAGAATAATCAACTCGATAAATAAGTATCAGCTTTGATAATACTTACAAAATTAACCATAATATCCAAAGTTCAAGAATTTCGGGTTTCAAGGAAAATCGTTTTATGTGGAATGTAGAAGTGAGAATTTTCGGGTAGTGTAGATAAACAAAACGTTGACATTAGGAAACCTAGTCTGAATGTGGTTAAATTTGAACAAACCGTAACGTTAGTCTAGCCGAAACAAAGTATTGAATGGATTGCGGTTGTGCCTGTTTAATACTCAACGAACCCATATTAAGGCAAGATTTCAGGATATGAGTCCTTAAATAAATGTGTTAAAGCGTATATGAGGATGTAGAGGTTACGACTAAGATCTCTGAGGCAACAAAAGTTAGTGATGGGATGTAGATCGTTGATAATGGTTCAGAATCTATCGCGACTTGTTGCAGTTTGAAGTGTTATTGTTAATCAAAATGGTCTCAGCCTTACCTGTTTGAATTTAAGTCGAAATATTTCGGTTACTTCCAATTAAAATTATCCATACTCACTACAATTTCATGTAGCTTATGGAAGTTGAATCAATATTTCATGTAGAAATAATTCAGAATGGGGTAATTTGTGTGTTGTTAGGTGTTCAGAATTAGGACAAATCAAGTGCTAAATTATCGTCAACATTAGTCATTCCCCAACATATAAGGATTATTTAATTTGACTTTGTGAATATATGTCGAATTATCTACAACTTAAAGAATGTTGGTATTAATTACTACAAAAATTGAACAATTTAGATCTGAACTTAATCATTACAAGAGTAAGGTTTATCTAATTACGTGTGGTAACAACTATAATCTTGTTCAACCTGAACTACTTCACTAGTTTCAAGTTGTTATTAAGAATGAAGGAGACTAGATATGTACACCATCTCAAAGAAAAATAAATATATTTTCAAGATGAAACTGAATATTTGCAACTGAAAACCCAAAATATGAAGTTGCTTTACGATGTGTATCTCGTTATCAGAGAAATAAGGATTTAAATATGTCAAAAGTGAAATAGTTTTCACTGAGGTGATCAGATAATGATTATACTAAATCACTAATTGCTCAAAGTAGAGTGCATGAACAATTGAGTTTCTATTCATTAGTCTAAAAGTATTGCGGATGCCTTGCGTTCTGAAGGTTTGTGGTCCTATTTCATATAACATGATGAAAAGTCACAAAAAATGAAAAAAAAATAATCTGCTCATTGTTTATTGTGCTTTGAAGCTTTCTAAATTTTCGTTAGTTTTTGAAGAAAATTCTTTTTCATTATGGTAAATTAGGCAAGTATATTTAGGAGAAGAAAATTACGGAAAACTGAATGCTTCACATTTATTTATTACATAATCTAACCGATTAGGCTAAACCTAATTCCTTTGTTGATAATCGTAAACTTTTAATCTGAACTGAGATGTTATAAGAACAGTTTTAACATTTTGGTTACTAACGATTACCTTATAATTTTTAAACAGACAACAAAAGAACTGTGAAGAAGATTGAAATGACTGAAAACGTCTCTGGTCATGAAGATAACTTACAATAATTTGAATTTGTTAGGATGTATGAGTTCCCTGAAGAAATTCAATTGACAGGAATCAAAAGGTGTCTTATGGATTGTTTTCAAGCACTTGTAATAAGTATGAAAATTATCTCGCCATGACCAAAATTGTGCAGTTAAAAGCTCTTTTAAACAACTGTATAACTGTATGGTCAAAACTGTACAAATTATTATACTATTAGTGATGTGCATACCAAATAATTTGTCGTAGTAAAGTAGGTTGGATATATTTTATGTAATCCAAGTATTAATTTTCACTTATATTCTCATCTGTTCTTTATTTCTCTCCACACTTACAACTTAAATGAATCTACTACTTAAACATCCTCGAAAAGTAGTGTTAGTCTTTATTACATTAATTATATTATCCAATTAACAAGTTTGTGTAAATCGATCAATAAGTATATTAATTACCTCTCTATAAATATCCGTTAAATAACTGAGTGTTCATGGAAATTGTTGTCGGCTGCGTCAGACATTAAATGACATTGGATTCACTTAGTGTTGTTTACTTGAATCTTCCCATCGATGTTTACGACTTAACATCAGTGAGGAGATTCAGGTAAACAATACTAAGTGAATTTAAACTTCACTCCATTAGACAAGCAAGCAGCTAATAGGATTTAAGTAGCTAAATAGATAACACGATGGTGTTTGAAGCGAACAGTATTAGGTTCAAGTCCCAGTGTGAACACCAACTCTAATATGCAGGTACATCCAGCAGACGGAACACGCGTCCTGGATTTCACTGCTAGCCACTATCCATCTTTGATTAAATGACACTGTTGAATAGCATTTCACAACTTCTATAACAGTAATATTTATAAGTTTTTGAAAAGAATAAATTAGCTTTTATTATCAGAAAAAGCAGTTACTTAAAACATTTCTAAATTTTACTAAATGTTTATCGATACTTTCCTCTTAACAAACAGAAATCTTTATATTTATCTCAATAAAAAATCACTTGACAATTTTGATGACAAAAGATTATTTACTATGGGATGTATACCACTTGATCAATATAGTCGTTTTGATTTATCACATGATTAATTACACTTTCAAATAGCTAGTGATGTATTGTTTGTTTGCTTCGATTAATACACACATTAAATGGAGGTATAAAAGGTAAACTATTATATTCTGTCAGGGCATTATTTGTGAATATCAAACTATTTTATTAAGTTGTTGGCATCACAAACCTCAAACCTCAATGCAAGTATGGGTTCGATGTACTAAGAAAATGGCTTATTACTAGTGTAATGAATTTACGGGATATTTTGATATTATTCATTAAATTTGATTCAAAAGCACGAGTACGATAATAAACCTTTGATTTAGGATACATGTATGTTTTATTTTAATGTATATGTTTTTCAACGCTAACTGATATCAGATGGAAAATCTGAGAAATCCAGAACATAAAGTACTCACTGACTTACTATAGATTCTCTAGATGATATCTGCAACTCGAATAAACCCTTATATAACTGTGTATACATTATATTAAACCTTAATGAATATAAAAAAGTGTTATGTCTTATGTTTTATAACTGAATATTTTATACTATTATGATGAATATGATAGAATTCATGTATTATTTTATCTTTCTTTTTTCAGCATAAAACAATAAACATATGGTAATTAAACAAGTTTATAGATATGTGTATTCACGTTTTACATTCTTTTCTTATTGAATGTGACATCTTTTGTTCATTGTTCATACTATTGATTATTGAGTAATATTTAGTTATGTAATCTGATATTATTAATACATATCGTTAGATACAAATAATTAAGTAAATTAAAATAACATGTGGTTTTCATTGTAAAACTAGTAAATGGTCTAATTTTTATCGAAATTGAATATATAATCCGTGTATATGTGATATCATCAAAATTTATATATATATTGTTCAAATGAACACATTGCAAACTTTGATGAAAGTGCTTTCATCCTTAATTTTGTTACCACGGTGATTAGTCTAAAGACTTTAACACTTTAGATAGATACTAAATAATAAAGAAATTCATTCACTTTGTATATTGAACTGGCATATAACTAATTAACAACAATTAACATTCATGTAACCTCAGATTACGTAAACCAACTGGCAGTTTAATCGTTTGTGATGCTAAGCGGTGTGAACCTAAAATCTCAGAAGGCTCATTAATACCACCGGAACTGTCAGCAGCTAATGCTTTGAAACACATGCATAAAGGTTGCCTGTTAATTACTAGCACGCAAATGTCAACACAAACTTAGATATTTTGTTATGGTCACGTTGTCGAGGTGATTAAACGAATTTCATCAGGACAGAAGACAATAATGTACGACTATCGGTAATCAGTTTCTTGTGTTTGGTGGTTCAGCCTTACATTTATTAACTCATACATCATACATACGTACCTATGATTTCGAAGTGGAACTCCTTAAGCATGATGTGGGATGTGTTTCACTCGATGATGAGTATATTTATATTGGAAATTGTGGTAGAAACAATATTTGAAGTGGGACATTTATACCTGATCGTATTCATATCGTTTTAGGTGGTATTAATTAACAATATAAATGAACGAAAGGTGAAGATAATCCTGTAGAAGATAGAAAATTAAATCATAGGAAGGATTACGATCAGTTCAAACGAATAGGCTTGTAAAATGAGTACTCCGAAACAATATGGTTAAAAATTTTAAAAATAAGCGATATATGTCAGTACTACTGAGGTCTAGCCATTCCTTTCAAAGTATTCCATCATAGATTACTATTGTTTTGCGAACCCTAATCACGAAGACTATCAGTTGTCAGAGTGCATTTTAACACCAATTGATTTCATTTACTAATACCTTCTAATATTTTTCTAGCATGCAATTCATTGTACATTCGTTCATGTAAAGAAAAGTTTTAAAATCCAACTACTGACTTGCTGTAAGTACTGAACTCTGTATTGAGTGAATTGGCGGTTATTGTACTAGACTCTTGATAAGCAGAGTGATATTTCTTAGTTACTATTTATTTTTTAAAATCTTATTTCGTTACAAATTAACACCAGGTAACAAACTAAGTGGATTAAACACTCATGTTGAACTAGAAAAAGACTATTCTTACCCACACTACCTACAAAAATCAAGCATAGAACCCAAGAGTGCCAATTAATTTTAAGCAGCCTACTTGAAATAGAATGATCCACATTTCTAATTGTTATCAATTTGTGATAAAAGCCGACTTCAATATGAACTATTCCCCATAAATTCAGTTCGTATTGTTTACTTGAATCTTCCCATTGATCTTTAGGACTGCAATTCATCAGTCTCTTATTGACATATGTGCATACTGCGCATATTACCTCAATATTGCCTTAATTCACAAGCATTATAAGAATTGACGAGTAGTAGCTAGCAATGAAATGCGCGTTTCGTTCTATTTAAAACTCGTCAGCTGGATACACCTGCATCTCAGAGTTGATGTTCATTCCATAAATCTTTCAATCAAAACATGATCCCGTGTTTAGTAATAACAATGTATGAGATAATTTTTATCAATTTCAGTTAAAATTCGAGTTTATTTCAGTTTAATTTTGTAGAGCAATTATTCAATAACAAAATTGGTTAATAACGTACTATTAATAATATAAATGTAAACTAACTAGCCATATAATCTGTAAATAGATTTTTGTTATAATAATAAGTGAACATGTACTGAGAAGTCTTGAAGTATATAGAAAAAAAGAGCATCTATTTATGCAATTGGTTCCCTTTATGAATTTAAATAGAGCAAGAACAAACATTGATTCAGAATAGTATGAATTCATACTATTCTGCATCAATGTTTATTCTTGCTTTATTTAAAGCATCTATTTAATTATTCCATAATTTTCAATGTTTTCATTGTTAAGATCATGAATTAATTGAAGTTAGATCATCATAGAAAATCTGAAAGCACTGGACAATTGTTTTATCTTAAAAATAATGGAATTCTACAAAACTCTTTCTGATATTAATGATTGAATAGTTTATTCCATATGAAAATGTAATAAAAATTAACTTCCAATAATTAACCAATGAAATTAATTCATATTATTATTTATTATTTATTATTTTTTATTATAAATCAATAAATTGGACAAATGGTGTATGTTTTTGCCAAAAAAAAATTAATAATAATAATAATAATTTAGTGATTTATTATTTATTGATTATTGATTATGTATAAACTTTTATTAAAACTAAAATGAAACTATTAATGATTGACTGTTATTTGAAACTTCTTTTGAGAGGGAGAGAGAGAGAGAGAAATAAACAAACAACCAAACAAACAACCAAATAAATAAACAAGCCATTCAAATTAGAATAGTAGTCAATTTATTGTGTCAAATTAAAATATTGTTTATTTATTATTAGTAACATTGACTTTTTCTATTGCTATACGAATAATGATTCACGTGATAAGTAAATAAAATATAAAACTAGTCCTTATTTCTTGTTACATAACCATTTACATGGTGGGTGTATTCATATTTGTGATAATGATGATATTCATTTGAATGTATCTTATAATTCAACAATAGTCAGCTGATACCTTATTTTCATTTATGATAAATGGCACATATAGACATGTCAATCATATTGATCTTTTGGACCCAATATAACCTCAGTCTGAATGAAATAAGTCTGATATGTTACTTTGCGTTTCCAATTATTTCTGATAATTTATAAAAACACAGTGTTAACGATGTTAAAGGTTTGATAGTTTTTATTCACAAATGGAAGAAATGGCAACTCAATACGTGTTATTATCTTAAAGCATCCGTCTCAGTAACTTGGTAACACTTAATACACAGAATCTTATCAACGTCCATAACACACATCTTTTGGTAATATAAAGAATGAGTGGTTAGACAAACGAATCTATTTTCTAAATTAATTCTAACTAGATAAAATTTGAATCCATTTCATACAAACAGACCATTTTAATACATCTTAAAAAATTTGTTATAAGCAAAGTTGGATAGTAATCTGCAGTGGAATCTAGGATGCGTGTTTCTTCCGATTCAGAAGTTGTCAGATGGATGTGTCTGCATCTCATATTTGATACTCACTACGACACTCTAACCCACTACTATTCGCTTCAAACGCTATCATGTTATTCATTTGCTTGCTTAGTTCAGACAGCCACCAGCTTGTTCAATGAGGTGAAGTTTGATTAATTTGTTCTGGTTGTTTAAATCTTCTCACTGGTGCTTATCACTGCAATTGATTAATATCTTATTGGCTTATATGCATCCTGAGTGGACTGGCTCTATATTGCCGTCAAGTCACAAGCAACCATATGACGATTCTTAAATAGTATCACGCACACACCCTCGACTCCAATGCTAGCCGAATCATGGTCATACAAAACTATTTTTGGTTGTGACGGCTAGTAACGAATGGCATTTCTACACATTCGTTAATCTACTGAAATCGGACATGTGAACCACTGAGTGTTAGATCAGTGGTATGAAAATATGTAGGTCCTGACGACCATTTGTGAAAAGCCCATGGCCTACAACTACTGATGAGCTCCATACACAGATTTAAACATTTATTTATAATACATTGTCATCAATCATTTTTTAGCTTACATCAGTTCTTGATGTAGCTTAGTCTATGATAAAATCATATCTGTAATATCATAAACCTCCTAGTCAGCTAGTTGGAAGATTAAATTTTTGCTCAAACAATTGCATTACTTTAGCCCTTTTTTGAATGAAAAACTCAAACAAGCTACTTCGTTAAATAATGCGAAATCAATTGAAAATTTGAATGTAAAGGTAAATTGTTTTGATAGATCAAACTGTCCGGTAACTATTGTATTCTATACATTCACTATTCCATTAGGATAGCAGAATGAGTTTTAAAAAATTTTGTGTATTTACCAGCTAATTTCTCAATAAAGATAATGGGTTTACTGTAAGATAAATAAAACTCTGTGATCAAAATTTGTTTCTTTCTTTGCTAAGTTAAATTACTGATATTCTTACTGAAATGTATGTATTAGAAAAATATCTGGTGTTTCGGAATTTATTCGGATCACAAAGTGTTTAATAAAAGTTGATCATTCATCGTGACTGTTTCGAATGTTTGTTTTTCTCATGATAGGTAGTTATTGATCAGTGGTTAAAGTGTTCTTTTGTTCTTATCAACTTAATGAAAGTGTATTTATCAGACTGCTAAAATATATTCATCAATGCCATCTAGTTGGAAACGGTGTGTAGATTGTGCCGGTCAATTGTTTGCAACTAAAGACCAAGAATCTCCCGATAAAATAAATGTTTCTAACTGGCTAATTCTATAGGATTATTTTTCAACTAAACTTCCACTTTTTCACATGTCCCTGTTAAAGTAGTAGATTTTAAATTAGAAGAGGATAAGACCAGTATTTTCAACTGTTATTTATTAGGTTGTTATGTAAAAGCCTGTTTAGCATTATTTCTTATGATTATTCGACTTGATTAGAAATGAACTTTGAAGGTTCAGCAGTATAATTACTATCATTCATACAGTCCACAAATGTACCTTCTTGAAATAACACAATTTCGATTAAGCAGTAAAATTTCGTCTGTTAATTAACATGTTCATTATTGCATAATAATTGACATGAATCAACAAATTTTCATCAGTAATACTAATGTGCTATTATGACCTCAAAATAGAAAACAAATTATTTGAATCTTTTCAGCATAATTTCCAGGTAGATTAATTGTTAAAATAAAAGAGCTGAATTTGTCAATTTTTCTCTAATATTTTAAATGTTATCGTTTCTACTCGGGACATCAGTATTTTGATAAGAAGTAAATTACATCTACTCTTGTATGACTTTTTAGTTTTAGAATAGGAGGTAGATAGACATGTGTGTATAAGATAATAAACGTAGTTATATTCTGATTAAAATTGTCATCATAATATTAGATTAGCTGTAAACTATCAGACGAACATTTGGCTCTAGTTTTAGATTTCGTCTTAGTAAGCCTTCCAAAGATCAATTTAAAAATTCATGCCAAACTGCTTAATAATAAATTTAATTGATCTAAAACAAATCACTAATATGGATACTGTTTTGCGAAAAATACATTGTATATTGAATTTTTTAACTTACTCCTCTGACTTAGGATATGATTTAAGTTCTTTCGATTGAATTTCATCTTCATTTTGAGGTTCAGCCGATATACCGATACAACGTTTTCTTGTTTGTACAGTTGGATCATATACGTGTGATTGATTATTGCCACCAAATCCAAATACAACATCATTCAAGCCCAATTGTCGTTCTCTTGATTGTTGTGGTTGTATTTGACCTTTAATCACTGTTACTGGTGTTGATAAAGATGGTGACTGATTAAATACACTTTGATATTTATCCAATAAACTTGATAATTCCGATATTCTTTTGTTCTTACCAACTAAATCTTCTTGAAGTTGAATTATTAAAGCTTGTTGTTGTTGAATTTCATTTTGACATTTTGTATGCATTTCAAAACAATCACAGTACTTTAAAATCTATGACGCAATGTGATGTGAATATGTTCGCGTGTGTGTGTGTGTGTATGTGTTGATGTTTGTGTTGATTTGAACGAGTTATGGACAATTTAATTTTTTTTTTTTAAATAATAAATAATGAAGAAGATCGAAATAGGTCCGAGATAATTTCACGTATGAATAAGAATAACAAATAAGAAACATAGAAAATAAAACAAAATTCAGTAAACACAATCATTTTACATTTAGGTACTATACTATAATAAAAACGATTATATAACTTACATCAAGGTGAGATATTTTTTCGGAGATCAATTTAAGAGACTGTATGATGATGATAATGATGAATTTATATGTATGAATAACAGGTAGTAATTTTATTATTAGTGTTTTTTCTCTCTCACAGATATATATATACTTTGTTAATTATGTACCATACAAGTTATCATTCTACGCACAATGTATTATACTATTGGTTAAACAATAGTTTCTCTCATGTACATACATGTGTGCAATTGCGCATGTATGGATGAATTCGTTTCAGTTAAAGGTATAATGCATGGTAATTGTATAATCATGAAATAGTGAAATATTCCATTATTCATTATCCAAGATGATGTACATATATATATATATATATATATATATATATATATATATGCATATAATGAACACGTTGTTTATTGGGTGTTTGTTACATCAAGTAAGGTGGATGAAAATATTATGTAATGAATATCATTTATATATCATAATAAATTATTACTGTTATTATTATTATTATTATTATTAATTCATAAATATTATAGATAGATTGTTTTCACGTACGTACGAGCACATTCTTATATTCTGTAGTATAATTTGTAAAAAAATATTTTCATAAAAATTCTTTAACGTTTGCCGATTATTTTCCTGATGTCACTATGGTAAAAAAAAATGAAGAAAAAAAAAGTAAAAAATAAAACTGACAACAGAATTGATCATTACTCGTGGCTTTAATTTCAATCATTCTATGATTGGACTTCACTTAACGTTCTGTTGTACAGATATTCATATGTACAAATAAATGAATAAATAAAAGTTATATTTACATAATATCTATGTATGTATGTATATAAATACTTGTGTGTTTTCTTTTCCATGGATTCTTTTTTTTGTCTGAAGCCACAATACTAATTATTTACCACATACTTTTATTGTAAGAGTATGATTGGCACATTTCTATTACAGTGCAATCAGTGAATAGACAGATCGTGTTAGGAATTAAATTGTATCAACCAATAAGAAAAAAAACGTTTGTCACATAAATCACAGTCATATTATGGGTTAAAAACAAATTTATCACATTGAGTTATACATGACTTTAAATGAAGGAAGAATATCAAGAGTTACAAGAAAAATGGATTTGCAGTTTATTTCAAAATCTCACTGAATGATTGATGGTTTAACCTATAGATTACATACTTACGCTTACTGCTCGTGGAGGAGCATAGGCAGCCCATCAGCACTCACCAACCAACCCTGTTTTAGGTAATCCTTTCCAGCTCTTTCCAGTTTTTATTCATTCTTTTAATATCTGTTTCTGTTTCTTGAAGTTATGTATTCTTTGGATTTCCTCTTTTCCGCTACCCTTCAAGTTAGGGCTTGCTTTGTGATGCACTTTGATGATTTGCGTAATGTATGTTCCATCGTCTTTCCCTAACTTCGTCTTCAGCTGGAAGCTGGTTTGTTCTCTCCACAGAAGGCTGTTGCTGATGGTATCTGGCCATTGGATGTTGAGTGTCTCGCATAAACAACTATTTATAGATACTTGTACCTTCTTCATGATGGTTGTAGTAGTTCTCCAAGTTTCAGCTCCGTACGGTAGAACAGTCTTGACGTTCGTATTGAAGATTTTGACTTTGATATTGGTTGAAAGTTGTTTTGAGTTCCTTATGTTCTTCAATTGTAGCAATTCTGTCGTTGCTTTGTCAATCCTCGCCTTTACGTCTACACCTGATCCTCCTTGTTCATCAGTGATGCTTACCAGGTATGTGAAGGATTCTACATCTTCCAGAATTTCTTGAGCAATACAGGTTTCGAGATCCATGATTGATAGATCATGAAATAACTTTTTTTTAACCTACCTAACTAAATTGCTCGTTATCGACTGAAGATGACCTAGAGTTAGCGCAGTTTCAGTCAATATTAACCTTCTGATAGCAAAAGGACTGACATGACAGAAACAAAAAGAACTAATGAAGGAAGTCACCATCCCGGTTGATTACTATGAAAAGTTACTAGTATAGAATTGGTTACCATACATCGGATTCTAATATATTCAGTTTAGATATCAACATACTGGCAATGACAATAATTGTAACATTATCAAAAACAATAAATGGAATTCTAAGATGATGATTCCAACAAGAAAATAACTATCAGTATACATTTTATTAATGAATCTATCGTTAGGCTTCAACTTTTACAGTTAACACCTAACATCCATTTTTTAACTATTTAGAGTTCAATAATCACATTTCATGGTGATTTCAAGTTAATTCGCTAGTCATATATTTACCATTCAACACGTACATAAAGTGTTCATCATTGTTCACTTGTGACTATGACAGAAAGATGATTAACTATTTCTATGACATTTTAAATATAACATTTTTAAGCAAAAATTGTACATGCATTATGCGACTATTTATAGGAACTTCATAAAAACTAAATCTCTTAAATTCACAGCTTTATGAAGACAAACGTAATCCTTGTTAATAAACCATAGAAAAAAAATTATAAAGTCAATAATCAATCCTTCATATTATTGCACATTAAGAATGTAAAACTGTTATACATTTGTTTCATTGGTCATATTTCTCCAATTTCTCCAATTCGGGAAAGATGGAAATTATCATTATCAGAATGTAACAAGTGAAATATAATGAATTCATGTAACTACATATGAAAGACTCATATTATTATTTCCTAGGTTCGGACTCCGCGGGGTGGAAGTGTGTAGCTGAGGAATCCCATACTAGGATGAAACGGCTGTTCAGTGCTTCCAAGTTTTCCATGGTGGTCTAGCTTCAATTGACTCATGATCTCAGCTAATGAAATTACTATAATATCCACAAAACCCCTTCTGATATATATTATTCACCAAAAATTTTAATTTTTTCTTTAATGTACATTTGACTCACCTAATGTTTAGTGGTAGTGTGAATTAACCCAATTTATCACTAAACTACTTAAGAGGTTATAAACATAATAACTTAAGTTTAATGTTCATTTTTCAGTAATTCTATATTAAGTAAAATTGTTTACACGTCACCATTTCAATGATGATACTTGAGGAGTATACAGTTTGTGTATTTTTACATGTGATTGTTAAAATAAAACTTAGTCATGTAAAATTTATGTACCTATGTTAATAAGTCATTGAGATGTTTAGTACTTTAATAATTGATATCGTGAGTCAATTGAAGCTAGACAACTACGGAAAACCTGGAAGTACTGAACGGACATTTCATCCTAGTATGAGACACCTCAGCAGTGCGGATCCACGATCTCGCTCCGCGAGCGAACACTTAACCTTTAGACCACTGAGCCGGCGTCTAACGGTGTTCATGTCTAACGTCAACACAATATATTTTTGAAAAAATATTTTTTAAGGCTTTGTTATACAAACAATCGCTAGTTTACATCAATGCTGGAAAACAGATAGCTTTTTATATTTATTTCCAAATTGATTGTAATATCATTATAGTAGCTCATAATAGATTGTGTTTAGAATTTACAGATCCTGAAGCTAACACAATACTACTTGGTCATTCATTAAAGATCCAATGATTTACATTTTTAAATTTAGGCTATGTATAAAATAGTGTGATCCTTAATCATTATTACTAATGAATTACAATCTTACTTTCTACGAGGCCAACTTCGAATTTATTGAATTTTGACTACAACTTACGAAAATTCATTTCAAGGATTATTATTTCAAAAAATAATATTTACCAACTTAGTTGTTGTTTCTGTGTCGAATCAAATGCGAATTATAATGCAACTAATAACGCTACGCATTTTCCTTGTTTTGATGGGCTTATATTGATGCTAAAATAGATGATCTTGAATGTCTTCAAAGTTGCAAACGTGTTATTCTGACGTGTACCAGAGGAGCAAAAACTTTACTAAAAGCTTCCTATCACTTCTAATACTCATTACATAGAACTTTTAGTAGGGGATCTCCAGGCTAATTTGTCGATAAAAGAAATAAGTACTCAAGAAATTAAGAAATCAGTTTTACCATATTTTTAAAACACTACATCATTGCAAACGTTCATCATACCAAGTTGCTAAGTATAGAAATTCAGGCAAACAAAACTTTCGAATTTATTTGTTGCAGATAGTTATTTGACTATTATTTGTAAATCAAACTAACATGGGCTGATTAAACATTGGAGAGATTTTTTAGATTCGTTATTAAATAGTATAGCATACCCAAAACCTTGATCTCATACAATATTCAGGTTAGTCTTCAGTCAGTAAGCCTATCGACAAAGATTCATTTTATCGGTATATAAGGAAACTTTTATTTATAAACATGATCAGTGATTAAACCAACAAAACAGTCAATCAGAACGGAAAGATACTTGAAGACAACAAAGTTTTCGAATGAAATCCATCAAAAACAAGGTCATTAAAATGGATTGACTCAACGTTTTTCTAACATATTTTAGCAAATAAAATAATGATTTATTTCTGATATATTAATGAGTAGAAATGGGAATGTATGACCTTTCGTGACTAAGTATATACCACCTATTCAGAGCAAGTAAATAAATAATCCAACTAAATCAACACATAATGATTTAGTTATTTATTTACTCAGAAGAGCTGGCTTAGAGTTAGTCACGAAACGTCAGAAATTCTGATTTCTACTCATTGGAAGATCACAAATATATCACTTTTTTTTTACTTTCATTCTATCTAATACTTAATTTATCTAGAATTATCAAGTCTGACCATTACATCAATACTTATATTTTTGAAATCTCATTTGATGTTGCTCAGAACCAACAATTCAACCATGAATTTTAGAGAACACAACATCCCCATAATCATTTGACCTGAAACCTCTATTATTTCAATAGAGTGTGTAGCAAATGTGGAAATATATTTCCAAGTTCTTATTATATATTATTTGTCAGTGAAATATTGAGATGAATTTGATAACAAAACTTTTAAAGTACACGAAAGATTCATATATTTTAATGCACTTGTCTTTTGTGGATATTTATTAACATAAGACTGTCAATGTTTGTATAAGGTAAGGGTTTGAACAGGTAGTTATTGCTTGTTTGAATAGTACATACTGTAAACGTAATACTTTTACATCACTTTTATTAAGTCAAGGAAAACTGATTAATTTACATGTTTAATGGTGATCAATATTCGAGGATTCCACTTAATTGACAATATATTTTCTGCGTGAGATGGATTTAGTCATATTACTAAGGAATGTAAATTTTTATTTATTATGATAAACTTAGAAAACATCGGTTAGTAGAGACTGAAGACAATGAACACCGTTTATATTGATTAGATTACCTACATCAAATCCTGACGAAAGAACTTCTGTAAACACACAAGAACTGAACATATGTTTCGTCCTAGTTTATTTATGCTAACATACTTGCTTCAAGAAGTTTAACCCAGGAACCTAAAGAATTACTACTGCGAAATGCTATCTAGGAACCAATTTCAAATTATCTAGTTCATATGTGAATGACTCTCCAACTGACTTCGAGCTTAGTGTGAATCCATATTAAAACTCACCAAGTATCCATTAACACCACATCTGAATAATACACGTCACCCTACTTTTACAAGCTAGTTTTGGAAAATCATGATTTATGGAGTCACGCTTGTCCGAAATGATACAGTAACTCACTAATTACAATGGTGACAATTGTACTTAACAATTTTACAATATCATTCTCATTACGTATCTCTGATATTGTGGGTACGGTTCCTTCTTGGAACACAGTAGTGCACTTGTAATAAGTCCTAAATAAAGATAAAATAGCTGCTCAATGATGACTGAACTTCATTGATTTTCTGTCCATGGTGAAAATGATCTGAAAAGTGAATATAAGCTTTAAGAAACCTATTTACCTGAATCCTTTATTAATTTCATATTATTCAATTCTAAGTTTCTTATAAAATTATCCTTTATTTCGACTAATTAACTATTCAGTTAAACAACTCAATCTGATTTATTCAATGTTGAATAACTAGACTGATTTGAAAAAGATCTTGTTGTGTTCATATTATCAGACTGTATTCAGCTGAAAAATTCATTTCTACTTTCATTAGTAATGGGATATATTTTACTTTAGACCATAGTTAGATGTATAGACTAGGTTGTCACCAATGTTTCATTCATATAAATATTATAGTTTAATTTCTGAAATGAAAAATAAAGCCCGATATTCAAGCACTTTGAAACTTGTGAATAGAACATATTAGAACGTTTATGCAAAATGTTTCATTTTATTTCACTGTACTTACAAGTATCATATGAAACACGTATCTAGTCAAATAGTGATGATAAATTCTGCTAAAGATGAATACTCTGATTCAGATACCAGTATACTCTCACTATAATGATTAATTCAACTAGAAAGAGAAAGAACACCAGCGTAAAATTACCGTTAAAAATATTACTCTGGCGAGACTAAAATTTATGTACGAACCAATCAGTTATAGGATAACAGGTCTCAGATTTTGGCGCGAAATTCATTCATCACTTTGGCTAAATAGAGGTTTGGCATTATAGCTCATGTCAGTTCGTAATGAAAATTCTAAATCTAATGCCTAACCTTAATCATCAACTGTAAATCATAATTTTAATTCTCACACTGGTTTCTCACCCGTATTTGGTCCTAGTTATTAGGTGAGTATTCTGAAGGTCACTTTATGGTCACTGAAGGTCGTTCATAAATTGTCGTCTCACCAATTTTCTTTTTTTTAAAAATAAAACTGTGTGAATGTTTCTCTAAACCATATCATTCCATAAATCATGTGAGAATATATTGAAATTAATGTTTGTGTTCCAAAACAATCATGTAGATCCACTTGTTAATTAAAATTTGCTACTATTCTAAATAAACAACGGATTAATTAAGGACTTATCTACAGTATTCATTCATTGAAAATTTGTACTTGAGTTCAGGATGTAACAAAGAAAGCTTAATTAATAATCAGATAAACAATAGTGAAACCCTTAAGTATCGTTTAAACAAAGGCAATATGTGATAATGTTTTAAGGCTGTAACGGTTTGATGATTTTTGTTTATTCATATTAATAAAACCGCCCTGACTAAACATGTAGTGAACGGAAGATATGTTAGTGCGTTTTGGCCAAAAACTGAAAGGAGAGCACAATTTAGAACGTGTACATTGTTATCCCTCCGGGGGCTACTACCGGTCCCAAGTCCGGATAAAGGAGAGGGTTGGGCATGGGGTTATCGTCCCTGTCCTGTAGAAAACTAACTTGCTGAAAAAACGCTAACCAGGAAAAATTATCCAAATCTTTTAAACTCTGCCCCGGGAGTCAGAAGGTCTTCACTTAGAAGAACTATGACGCATCATGATGGAAGCCGAATTCCTCCGGAAGTTACGAGGCCGATGCCCCTTCTGACAACCAGAGCATCCATTTATTTAGGTACATGGAAAGTTCGTACAATGTGGGACACCGGAAGAGTCCTCCAAATTGCTGCAGAAATGAGGAGATACAACCTAGAGGTGCTTGGGATCAGTGAAACACATTGCACGCAAGTTGGACAACAACGACTAACATCAGGAGAGCTTCTGTCATATTCCGGTTTTGAAGAAGAAAATGCCCCATATACACAAGGAGTTGCACTGATGCTGTCCAAACAATCACAAAATGCACTTATAGGATGGGAGTCTCATGGACCAAGGATCATCAAAGCTTCATTCAAAACAAAGAAAGAGGTCATTTCAATGAACATCATCCAATGCTATTCGCCTACCAGCGACTACAATGAGGACGCTAAAGATCAATTCTACGATAGGCTGCAGTCAATCATCGAGAAGTGCCCAACAAAGGGCCTGACCATTCTGATGGGAGATCTCAGTGTCAAGGTTGGAACGGACAACACTGGATATGAAGACATCATGGGACGACACGGACTGGGAGAAAGGAACGAAAATGGTGAGAGATTTGCGAACCTATATGCCTCCAATAAACTGGTCATTGGCGGCACCATATTCCCACATAAACGCATACACAAAGCCACATGGAATTAACCGAATCACACCACGCAAAACCAAATCGACCATATTTGCATCAACAAAACGTTCAGGAGGACTATGGAGGACGTGTGAACCAAGAGAGGAGCTGATATAGCATCAGATCATCACTTGCTGGTCGCCAAGATGAAATTGAAACTCAAGAAGCACTGGACAATGGGACGGACAATATCACAAAAGTTCAATACGGCCTTTCTTCAGGATGCTAACAAACTCAACAAATTTAAGATAGTCCTCAGCAACAAGTTCCAGGCCTTTCATGATCTACTCAATGGAGAAGGAACTACTGTGGAAAGCAACTGGAAGGGGATCAAAGAGGCAATCACTTCAACATGTCATGAGGTCCTGGGTCACAAGAAGCACCATGACAATGAATGAATCACTGTTGATACACTGGATAAGATTCAAGAAAGAAGGAACAAGAAAGCAGCAATCAATACCAGCCGAACAAGAGCAGAAAAAGCCAAGGCACAAGCTGAATACACAGAAGTAAACAAACAATTGAAGAGGAGTATCAGAACCGACAAACATAAATATGTGGAAGATCTAGCAAAAACGGCGGAAAAGGCTGCAAGAGAAGGAAACATGAGAAAACTGTATGACATAACAAAGAAACTCTCTGGAAATCGCCGCAAACCTGAACGACCAGTGAAAACCAAGGAAGGTGAGGTAATCACCAACATTGAAGAGCAACAAAACAGGTGGGTAGAACACTTCAAAGAACTCTTGAATCGACCAGCTCCACTGAACCCACCCAACATCGAAGCAGCACCCACGGACCTCCCAATCAATGTTGACCCACCAACAATTGAAGAAATAAGCATGACCATCAGGCAAATCAAGAGTGGCAAACCAGTAGGATCAGACAACATTCCAGCAGAGGCACTAAAAGCAGACGTAGAAGTAACTGCAAAGATACTCCGCATTCTCTTCAATAATATTTGAGATTAATAACAAGTATCAACCGACTGGAAAGAAGGACTTCTGATCAAAATACCGAAGAAAGGCGATCTCAGTAACTGGGATAACTACAGGGACATCATTCTTCTCTCAATACCGGGAAAAGTCTTCAACAGAGTATTGTTAAACAGGATGAAGGACTGCATAGACGCCCAACTTCGTGACCAACAGGCAGGATTCCGTAAGGATAGATCGTGTACAGACCAAATCGCAACTCTACGGATCATTGTGGAACAATCAATTGAATGGAATTCATTACTCTACATCAACTTCATTGACTACGAAAAAGCATTTGACAGCGTGGACAGAACAACACTATGTAAGCTTCTTTGAGACTACGGCGTGCTTCAGAAGATAGTCAATATCATACAGAATTCATATGATGGATTACACTGCAAAATTGTGCATGGAGGACAGTTGAGAAAATCGTTCGAGATAAAGACCGGTGTCAGGCAAGGTTGCTTACTCTCACCCTTTCTCTTTCTCCTGGTGATCGACTGGATCATGAAGACGTCAAAATCGGAAGGGAAACATGGGATATAATGGACAGCTAGAATGCAATTGAACGATCTAGACTTCGCAGATGATCTGGCCGTTCTATCCCAAACGCAACAACAAATGTAGGAGAAGACGACCAGTGTAGTAGCAGCCTCAGCAGCAACAGGTCTCGATATACACAAAGGGAAGAGCAAGGTTCTCCGATACAACACAGCATGCAACAACCGAATCAAACTTGACGGAGAAGATTTGGAAGATGTAAAAACCTTTACATATCTGGGCAGCATCATTGATGAAGAGGGTGGATCTGATGCAGATGTGAAGGCGCTGATCGGTAAAGCAAGAGCAGCATATTTACAACTGAGGAACGTCTGGAACTCAAAGCAACTGTCAACCAACACCAAGGTCAGAATTTTCAATACAAATGTCAAGACAGTTCTACTGTATGGGGCGGAAACCTAGAGAACTACGAAAGCCATCATCCAGAAAATACAAGTGTTTATTAACAGTTGTTTACGCAAAATACTTCGGATCCATTGGCCGGACATTATTAGCAACAACGTACTGTGGGAGAGAACAAACGAGATCCTAGCGGAGGAAGAAATCAGGAAGAAGCGCTGGAAGTGGATAGGACACAGATTGAGGAAAGCACCCAACTGCGTCACAAGACAAGCCCTCACATGGAACTTGAAGGCCAAAGGCGGAGAGGAAGACCAAAGAACACATTACGTCGGGAAATGATGACAGACATGAGAAAAATGAACAAGAATTGAGTGGAACTAGAAAAGAAGGCTCAGGACAGAGTGTGTTGGAGAATGTTGGTCGGCGGCCTATGCTCCATTGGGAGTAACAGGCGTAAGTAAGTAAGTAAGTAATGTTGAATAGATGTAGTAGTCCATCAAATGTCACGACCCTCGGTTTAATAAAAACTGTATTTCATAAACTTTGCTGTGAATGTTTAAAATCAGTCTTTTTTGTCGTGTTCTCTGATCCGTACTTCTTCAGGATAATAGTTAAGATCAGAATTGTTAAGGAAAGCATAGGGTTTCAAAAACTACGCTTAAACGTTGTTCATTCATATTCAGACGATTATTTTATGTTTATTGAAGTCATGTGACATTTGTTGTGTGTAATACTATTCAATGAAATACCGATGAACGTTTTTGTAAATTACTGTGAATCAAATTGTTATACGTTCTAATATAGTTTAGTTCACGAGTTATTGTGAGTTGGATGATCAGTACAAAATAGATTAATGATATGATAGATTTTTCACAGTGGTTTCAAACTTCGTAGTGAGATATAAAATTAGTTAAAAAAATGCTGAAAATCATGAATTAACCGACGAGTCATTTACTCTAGGTTCTCTTACCGCAGGTCCTCATAAGTAATGTATATTCATTACCTTACACACTTTCTACTGCAGAACCTACAGACCTCGTGATGAATGTTGAATCTTTCATAAAACTGAATTGACAGCCGATTTGTTTTTGAGCAGTCTGACTTCAAATGAATATAATCTGATGTCGCTTATCATTTACTAACGTACACTTAGCATTTATTTATTCCTTTGATCACGACTTGCCAAAGATGGTCAAATTTACTTTAAAACTATATATTTTTTAAGAAATTTCCTTATCACTTTCATTTCTTAAACTTGATAACTTTATTCCAAACAATGTTTAACATCTAGCCTGATTTTCATAAGAGTTTTGTATATTTTAAAATAAATTTATTTATGCTGAGTAAATTGACAGCACAGGTCGTTGAAAAACTATATAAGA